TTAGAAAAAAATGAAAACTTCACTTGCAAATCTACCCTATAACTAGGTAGCGCTATCGGGTTTTAGTTTTTTTTTTTTGAAAATACTTTTATCGGGCAGGTTTGCTAGAAATAATCGCATAAGTAGTTAATAAATAAATATTTATAATTGTCACACCAATTAGCCTAGCCCCAAAGTAAGCACTGAATGCTAGGGTAACGGATAGAATACATATATTTGATACATGTATAAGTATATTGATATAGCTATATATATAAACATCCATGACTAAGGAACAAATCGATCAAAACACCTGCTGTCGCGATACGCAGGTGAAAAACACAGAAATATCCTCTTTACCAATGAAAAAAATTTCACGATTGAAGAACACTATAATTAGCAAAATATTAAAGTGTACGCTCACAGTTCCAAAGAAGCTGCTCAAGTAGTCGGAAACCTTTCCGACCAATTGAGCAGGATGGTGACCACTTAACCTGGTCATCATCCTGCGTCAGTGATGGTTTGGTGGGCCTTGTCTTATCAAGGAGTCACAAAACTACATTTTTGTGAAAAAGGAGTGAAAACTTTAGCCAAAGTGTATCAAGATACAGTCTTGGTTCATGTTGTGAAACCTATCAGCAATACCCTTTTTAAAAATATACCGTGGACTTTCCAGCAGGTTTCTGCATCTGGTCACAAGGCACGAACTACCCAAGCCTGGCTTGAAATCAACGTTCCGGACTTTATAAGAGCTTAAAACTGACCCTCATTTAGCCCAAACCGCAACCCTTTCGACTTCAAATTATGGTCAGTTTTAGGACATGGATGGCCTGCTCTAAGCGAAACAGCGACATTGAGTCTCTTAAAAAATCTTTGAAGCAAGCAGTGGCGAAATTTCTCTTGGAAACAGTGCGTAAATCCATAGATTCGTGGCCAACCAGATTAAAGGCCTGTATAAAAGCCAAAGGTGGCCATTTCAAATAGAATTTTATTTAATGTTTTGCTAAGACTTTAAATAAATGCAAGGTATAAATTTCAATGATATTACATTAATTCATTAAAAAAAATGCATTTTCCTTTGTAACAGAACTTATGGCTGCTATAAGTATATTCTAGGTATATGATTTTTTGGGGTTAGCCTCAGAGATGAGTTCCATTCGTCCCAGTTTAGGCTTTTATAAGGATCGATCGATTTTCTTACCAAAATAATAACAATGAACCCTATTATAATGCCTACGTAATGTAAAATAATGTTAAAAATTAAAAGTCACATTTTGTCTCGTTTCCTCCGTAACATGGATAATGGAAATATCACATTTTAAAATTACATATTGTAATAAAAAATATAAAATGTAAGCATTTATTTTCTCAAACATGTTTAATGATCGATTTTTAACGTAAAGCTATTTGTATAATATATTATGATGATTATTATCCAACAAACCATTCGAGTGAAGTTTAGATATCCTTTCAATTATTAAACATCATCAACAATCATCAACCTATGTTTTTAAAGTAATTTTCGAAAGTTGGGAAAGTTCCCGCCATAAGTCATAATAGGCTAGTTTACTCATGTCGAATTGTATTAAATAAATGTTTATTTCTTAAAGTGTTTAGGCTAAGGAACCCTAATATATCGATTTCACTTCATAAAAGCAGAAGATTGCTGTAGAAATTTAATTTTAAAAAATATTTTTTAGTCTATATTTTTTAAACACTAAAAACGCTGTTCGCCTCATTCGCCATGATTTTGACGTCTCTTGTGGTAAACAACTAAATGTCATTCGCGTGTTACTTTAAGTGGATTCTTTCGTCTCACTAAATTTATCTTAAAACACTTTTAACTTTAGGAAAGAAAAAAACAGTAAACTTAGTTTTTTTTGACTAAACAAATTATGGATGCCGGCTTTGTGAAAGCAGAAAGCACAAATATGCCAAGAATTGACGCATTGATGGTTGGTGAATTTGTTGCACTAAACCCCGATTTCTGCTCTGCGGAGCAGAGAAACGACAAGGCATCTATGTAAGTACAGTGCATTTAGTATTACAATGTAGTAATAAACATAAAACTGATACAACATATGAATAAGTGTAATAAAGTTGCGTAGGTTAATTTCTTTCGGCACTTTAATCCACAACTTTCCTGGAGTCTTCAAGGATGTGTTTTTATATTCTCGTACAATACTTTATTTTTCGTGGTATTTATTAGAAATCATGTTTTTTTTTATTATAAACTCAGTTAAAAGTAATTTTCTACGTGTTTACGAGTTTTTGTTTACCACAGTTCACGTCATAGCATAGACAATGTATAGACTAAAATGGCCGATAGCGTTTTTGTATGTCCATGAAAAGTCTATTTTAAAATTAAAGATTTGTAGCTTTCTAGGTTTAAAAAAAATACAATACATTTTTTTTCGGTCTAATAGAACATTTATTAACCATTTAAAACCTTTTTCCAAAAAGGGTCAACTAGCCTATTCATAGACAAAAATACTTATATGTAGTTTTTATTTTCAGTTACGGCCTTTTGGTATATTTACCTTTCTCTATGGTTACGGCGGAACTACATTTGTCTGTCGTGTAGTCTTGTAATGGTTCAGAGTGCTATCTGCTTAACACATTTAGTATGGTTTGAGTGAGAACGCTGTCTACACACCGCGACAATACACAAAAATATGTAGTTCTGACCATACTAAGTGTAGGAAACCGATTGCGTCAGAGCGATTTAATATAGATCGATAAATAAAGTTCTGACCTTACACCACGGCCACGGTTACAAAGACTTGTTATGTGATTCAATGATTACTTCTGATAATGATGTTGATTCTGGCATGATTCTCTAAACTGAAAACTAAATTTAACATCAGTCTCTCCTTTTCATTCTGTATAGAGAACGACAAGGATACACTGCTGTCAAATTTAAGTTTGGTTTAAAGAATCATGTCAAAATCGACACCATTACCATAGTTATAGCATGGACAGTAGTTGTAATGGGCCTAAATACTAAGTCTATGGGTACGGCCAGAGTGCACTCAGATTCAGACTCAGAAAACAAGCGCGAGAAATAAACAGTGTAGTTTAAGCAGGTTGCCTGCTGCCACTATGGCCACCCTGCTTTAACTACACTGTTTATTTCTCGCGCTTGTTTTCTGAGTCTGGATCTGAATCTGAGTGCACTCTGGCCGTACCCTATGAAAGGGCCTGATTCTTACATAATTCGCTAAACTTTAAACTTGTTTTTCTCAACGTAGAACATTAGGTTTAGATAAATTATGGATATAATAGTGGTATCGATTCTGGCATGATTCTCTAAGCCTAAACTTAAACTTGACAACAGTGGTGTCGATTCTAGCATGATTCTCTAAACTTAAAACTAAATTTAACATCAACCTCTCCTTTTCATTCTGTATAAAGAATGACAATGATGCACTGTTGTCAAATTTTTTTTATAAATAAATAAATAAATAAATAAATAAATAAATAAATAAATAAATAAATAAATAAATAAATAAATAAATAAATAAATAAATAAATAAATAAATAAATAAATAAATAAATAAATAATAAATAATAAATCGGGCCGCCGAGCGGGATCGGCCCTCTCCCGATCCCGCTCGGCGGCCTCCTTCTGGAGCATCACCGCTTCACAGAAGGAGACCGCAGCCTTCCAACCTCCCTCATCCGCCAGCATTGCCGCAATCAATGCTGGCGGAGACAGATCCTGCCCGATTTCTCCGACCAAGACTCGGCGTTCGGAGTCCCAAGCGGGACAATCCGCCAGCGTATGCTGGGCCGAGTCTAGTTCGGATGCGCAGTGGTGACATCGTGCCGTGTCCTCCCTCCCTATTCGACTCAGGTACTACCATTACCATTAGTAGTAATTAGGTAGTACCATTGTATGCCTGTCATTCTTTATACAAAAGAAAAAGGAGGGAGTGATGTCAAATTTAGTTTTAAGTTTAGCGAATTATGCCAGAATTGACATCAGTGACACAATTCATTATTAAAATAGTCAAGAAAAATTGCATCAATATTGAATTAAAATGTCAGAAAATTACATATATTTATCATCTATATATTTTAAACTATTATATTATGTACACACGAATGTCAAACATACATTTATATAAGGCTATTTTATCTATCACTATGTAAAGGCGCCATTTTCATTTCCCAGAAAAAATTGCTTCATTACATAAATTATGTATAATGGTGTCGATTCTGACATGATTCTCAAACCTAAACTTAAATTTGACAATAGTATATCCTTAGATGATGATGATGATATCCTTGTTATTCTCTTTAAAAAATGAAAACGAGAGACGGATGTTAAATTTTGTTTTTAAGTTTAGAGCATCGACACCAACGTTTTCTTGCAAATATGTTGAAAAACGTTGTATGACATTCGTGCGAATTGGTATTACAAACTCGTGGCTATGGTAAGCCCTCGACTTACCGCACTAATATCGTAAATAAATATTTAGTACATATGTAGACCAAAAAATATAGGTGTCGATGCTGGCGTGATTCTCTAAACTTAAAACTAAATTTAACATCAGTGATGTCGATTCTGGCATGATTCTCTAAAGCTAAACTTAAATTTGACAACAGTGCATCCTTGTCCTTCTCTATACAGAATGAAAAGGTGAGACTGACCTTAAATTTAGTTTTAAGTTTAGAGAATCACGCCAGAATTGACACCAGTCTCTCTTTTTCATTCTGTATAGGGAATGACAAGGAAACACTGGTGTCGATTCTAGCATGATTCTCTAAACCTAAACTTAAATTTGACAACAGTATATCCTTGTCATTCTCTATACAGAATGAAAAGGAGAGACTGATGTTAAATTTAGTTTTAAGTTTAGAGAATCACGCCAGAATCGACATCATAGTTTGATTTGTTGTCACTCGATATCCGAACTGTGATTTCTACGCTTGCACTTCATATCCGTTGCGATACTTTTATAGTCTGTGCTTTGACGAACCACAGAAACTCCGTAATCTGTGGCATGTGCATCCGAATTCAAATTTGTTTGAAGCTCAACGTCCACCTCAACGATTTTTGTTTGACGTAAATTTTGAACTTACTAATTCAAGCATTTTAGTTTATTACACGTTTATTTACATAGATATAATTGTGACGTGAGTGTAAAGGTTTTGCGGATTTTTTTATGTGTATTTTGTCAAGATGACGTCGGAAAAAGTGTGCAGAAAGGACAAAAATCAGAACATTCAAGTGTTCGTCAGATTGAGGTAAAGGGACTTTGATATACAAAGTGATTTTAATACTTTATTGTTGATATAATAAACTAGTGTAATATTGTAGTTGTAAGAATTACAAGTAGGCTTAAAGAAGGAGTTTAAAAAAAGTTCTTACTTAAATAAACATGCTGAAATTTTGACGCTGAACATTAGATATCTAATGCACCTAGATTTGTCGAAAACATAGGTAATAGGTTGTTCGTTTTCTATTCCTCATATTGTATATATGTTGTAAAATGTTATTAAAATTAAATAAATGCAGTAGCAAATCATAGTTAATAATATAAACATTCACATCTAGAATCTCGGGACTCGATATTCAGGTTAAAATGATGGCATGTTACATTTGGGTATGATCAAACTAAAATACTTCATTTGATATTTCTAATATTCCAACCAAAAAGCTGTCAGGGTTCAGAAATTGCTAGCATCCTATGACTCATATGAAAAACAATTCTATATCCTTAAGTATTCTTGTAGTCTACTATGTAATCCATATTTCTCCTTTTCATTGTATTTTTTTTCTTTTTCATATGATACTAACCGAACGTATCTGTTATTATTGTCAAGATATATGTTTAATTAAAACTTTAGTTGTATCTTATGACCAGTGAGTATGATATATGTATATTTTTTCAGGCCCTTGAATCAACGGGAAAGGGACATAAAATCACTGGGTGTTGTGGAAGTAGTGAACAGTAGAGAAGTGGTTGTGCGGCAATCGCAACAGACATCACTTACTAAGAAATTTACTTTTGACCGAGCCTTTGGTCCTCATGCCAAACAGGTATAGTCATAGATGTTTATAACAATGCCTTTTAAGATAGATACTTTATTTATATATATAAAAATCAGTTGCTGTTAGTCTCGCTAAAACTCGAGAACGGCTGGGCCGATTTAGCTGATTTTGGTTTTAAAATGTTTGTCGTAGTCTAGGGAAGGTTTAAACGGTGAGAAAATATTTAAAAAATTGTGAGGCAGATAGTAAAAATACAATTTCATTTTTCCATATAAACTGTTCTATTTATATTCCTGTCCAATATTTGATGTTTGTTGTTTATCATTTCTTCCAAATTATTGTAAGCAGTACGAAGTACGCTGGGTCAGCTAGTTTTTGATAAAAATGTGGTGGTAATGGTAGCAGCAAACTTTTTGAGCAAAACCACAGACAAGTAAACTTGAACTTTCGACAATGTTATATGTAAAATTGCTACTGCTTAGGCTTCCATAAGCCTATTAGCAATTTAGCTAATAAGCAGTAGCAGTAGCATCATAAACATGAGCTTAGCTTAAAGTTTACTGGGGTGTATAGCTTCAAATATTTACTTTTCCAATTAAGAGATTTTTCTTGAAATAAGTTTTGTCATATAAATCTTGTGCAAAGTTACTATGCTTTATTTTAAACAGATTTATATAACTTTCTATAAAAAAATTAATGAGAGCACCAATAGTGGAAACTCTAGAAAAAGAAGTGACTTTATAGAAATCTTTGTCCTGGGTTTGAATCCTGCTAGGAGCAAATGTTTGTATCGTGAATATAGCATTTGTACCTTAGTCATTACTTTTATATATATTTCCACCAAAATATATGTATCTGTGATATGATGTTTTTTGTATTTATGAGATGTGACATGTATAATGTTTTTTGTATTTATAGCATTTTATTGAATTTATTTGAACCTTTGTTTGTATCTGTCTGTTATTGCATAATAATTCAAATTTAGTATAAAAATCAAAGTTCGCATTTTAAATTTATTTAATTTAAATGAAGTTTCCTTTTTAATTGTTACGATAATGAATGATCATAAAAAAATACGATTATCGCCGATATACTAATCTCGTATTGGTATTGTTGCATACCTAGTTTTTATCACAACAAATCTCTGGTTTCAGGTGGAAGTTTATCAGGAGGTGGTCAGCCCCCTCATTGAGGAGGTGCTGGCCGGATACAACTGTACTGTCTTTGCTTACGGACAGACAGGCACAGGCAAGACGCATACTATGGTCGGAGAGAACACTAGTGATGAGACAACATGGCAGAATGTTAGTATTTTTTCTGATGCAAATTATGAAATTAGTAGCTTTTTCACAGTTTTTCTTATGAGGGTAATTAAAGAATTATAACTTGAACCTTAGAAAAAGTAAACTTCCATACCTTACCAATATAATATCATATGCTCACAGTTGTAAAACTGAGATTTATTATGAGATTTTTGGGACAAAAGGCTTAAAAAAAATCTACAGTGCACAACCATGATATCCTTGAATGGCACTGCAAATGGTGATGTTAATGCCAATCTATAGTTTTCATTTCTTTAAAGAGGCTAAACAAACGTTTGAAGCTTTGTCTTCCCACCAAAGCATAGATGATGTGAATTATTATTATTATTAACTACATTCTGTCAACTGACTAGATAAGTTTTTTTGTTGAGTTATTTATCATGTTTAATTATCTGGCTTCCTCTCAAGCCAGAGAATTTTTGCTTCAACCTCTGTTACTCATCAAGAACATCTTTCCTTTTGTGTCTTTTCGTATTACTGCTTCTCTCCTACACCACTACTTTAACAAAAGGATTTCAATAATGATGATGATGAAATGTAAATGTATGCTTTAAATGTGACATTGCAATCAATTTAAATAAAGAAAGCCCTCTTTTGCCCCCAGGATCCATTGGCAGGTATTATACCCCGAGCACTAAGCCAGCTATTTGACGAGCTCCGCATCTCCAACACAGAATATACTGTCCGAGTTTCATACTTGGAGCTGTACAATGAGGAGTTGTTTGATTTGCTCTCCTCCTCTGAAGACAACTCGAAGCTGAGGATTTACGAGGATGTGACTAGGAAGGGATCAAATATTGTTAACGGCTTGGAGGAAATAACAGTAAGCATATTAATTTAAATACTGTAATTGCTCTTTAAAACGTATCATACTGGTACTAATAATGAAACGAATCTGATATCCTGACTTAAATTATGTGGCAATTATGGGTCAAATAGAATATCGTAAGTTGTCTTATGCGATGCCTATTTTTATTGGAGCTAGTCTATTATAGTACGTCTAAGCTGGTTGGAAGGATAAAGATTGCCAAAATTGAACTTTACTCACTAAAATAATTAGTACTCTGTTCACTACTGGGGCAATTTTTTAAAAACAAGATTCGTCGAGGTAATTCGATGAACATTTTGATGGGTGATGTCAAATTATCGATAGAGTACTTACTGCCTGACTACCCACTATCTATAGTCTGTTTTGAATACGAGTACATTGTAATCTGACAAATTACAAATCAAATGATCTGTATAAATTTGTGTTCTATTTAGAATTAATAGCCTGCTCATAAGAGGGAAAGGCTTGAGGAGTTCGATGGCGCAAGTGGTTAGCGCGTTCGGCTGCGATCGTTGAAGTTAAGCAACTCTCACAGTGGTTGGTCATTTGATGGATGACCGAAAATTTACTATCTCGAGCTCCTCCGTGCTTCGGAAGGCAGTTAGGCGTTGGTCCCGGCTGCATCTACAGTCGCTAGCACCCATCAATCATGGCCCATCTCCCTATTCCATCCATAGGGAAGGGCTGTGCCCCAGCAGTGGGGACATTAATAGGCTGATGATGAAGAGGGAAAGGGAGAAGATGACGACCTACGTGGCTGTGTGTTTTGTACGCCGGGTGTCAAGGTGTCGCCTACTCGAGAGGTCCCGGGTTCGAATCCCGGTGTGGGCAGATGTTCGTGTGATGAATACAAACATTTGTATTCCAGTCATGGATGTTTAATATGTATTTATATTTAAATATTCTTATATGTGTGTCAGTTTAAGTATTATACCATATTATCCGATAACACAAGCCAACAATGCTGACTTTGGGGCTAGGCTAATTGAAAGTTCGTACATCATGGGCGTTAAGTTAAATGCCTTCGGCGGGACATTTTCTTTACCATTCAGGGGGATTTCCTCCGCGTAAAAAGTCCCTCACAGACTAAATCTAAGTGATAGGCGTGTCGGATTGCAAGGGGCACCGGTTTTGTCTGGGTCTGAATTACCGAGGGTTGCCAGGTCTTCTTCTATTTCTCTACATGAATCTACTGTTTATCATAGAATACGATTTTCTTTTTTAAATTGCGTGTTGAGTTGCGTTTTCCCTCATTAAGAATGCAGGTATCCTTAAATCTAATACAATAAATATGTTTTTGTAACAAAAAAAACAGGCTTTGAGGGTCAGCAGAAGCTATAGAAACCTAGGGGAAACCTAAACCTAGAATACGCCCCTGCATCTACTGTTTTATCTAGCAGCTCTTTGCATACTTCTGTTATTTTTCTTTTACGCCTCCCGATTTTTTTTAAGTAGGACCTGGCAACACTGACTGAGGGACTACTGTACATTCAATGTATTTTCGATGTAAACTTTAAAGTCTCTTTAATAGTATTATAACTATAATTGCTATCTTCTTTCAAATGTTTAATACTTGTAAAAGTATTCATTTGACATTGTGGGTTATCTATAATGTGAAGAGATGACGCTGCCTTGCAGTTTAAGAATGGCTAGAGGAATTTCGACGCGGTCCGTGAGGGCCGCGGTAGCATAATTGGTCAGTGCATTCGCCCGGATTTCGAAGGGTGCGGGTTCGAGTCCCGTCTGCTGCCTGGTCCGCGTGGAATTTTTTCTATTTATATTTTCTTTAGATTTAAACATCAAGCAGTTACATGCTTTAAAAAATAAAAATTTGAACTTTAAAGTCTCTTTCTGGTTAGGTATATAACAAAAACGAAGTTTACAAGATAATGGCACAAGGACAAGAGCGAAAGAGAGTTGCGTCTACCCTCATGAATGCACAATCAAGGTGAGTTTCATATGCATGCAACTAGTTTACACATAATTAAGTAAAATAGTAAATTCTATGACATTTAAATCCACTTGAAATTAATTCCCTTTGTTCAATTTGCAGCAACCAAACAAATAACAAACTTACGTCTTTGTTGTGAGTCGTTAGAAATCTTTTTCCTTGTCACTTAAAATTATGTTTCCTCATGTAATGTTTTGTACTTAATTTGGCTTAATAGGGTATTTGACAGTGTTAAAAATAAAGTGCCAATTGTTAGAAACTTTGTTTAGAATGAATATTGGCAGGGGTTTTCGCTATTTTTACAAAAAAAATATTCATAATTTTACTAAAAACTAACGAAAAAGATATAATAGTTTTCTTATCTATTGTCACGTGACCCAAAACGCTTGGGATTGGCGGAGCCTAAAATGACGTCACACGCAAGTAAACTTCCGGTTAAAGTGACATTACATTGTATCGTTTGACGTTTTAATATCAGTCGTGTGACGTCACACACTAGTAAGCCATATTGTTGCGGCAACTTGAAAATGGAGTTTTTGATTTGGTTATTTTTACTGAAATACACAACAGAATGATGAATATTCACTTTTTACGGACTCCATAAACATTAGTCAATGACGTGAGATTGTTTTCTAAAACTTGTCAAATACCCTATTTTTAATGTCAATATAATTTTTTTAATAATCAAAAAAAGTGGTAAGAATTATCATTTGTAAAATCTAACTGATCGGCAACATTAATTGGTATCAAATGTTTGGTGACTGCAAATTATATTGAGGAAGCATAGGATCATAATATAGAAGTAGTTTTATTGTTTATATTATTTCTATATTGATTTGAAAACCATTTATTGAATGTTTTTCATTGAATGACTCGATTCTGTTACATCTTTTAGAGACTCAATTTTCAACATTAATATAATTCATAGTTTAGTATTTTGCGTAGAGTAGTCAAAGGCTGTTTATCATGTAATAACTTAGGGTAACATATGTATATGTATGAGAAGCTGGCGAAAAAAAGGGTTAAATAAGGCATTTGATCAAACGACTTTTTTATTTTACAGTCCGGAGGTTTCGGGCCTGTCGAATTTGAATCTCAAATAATTTTCAATCAAAACCACCTAAAACAGTGTTAAACCATACCAAAAGCTAACTGTAGGTATGTCATCGTCGTCAGACGTCAGTTTTATACAGTTCCTGTAAAAAATAATTTTATGTAATTATACCGTTTTCTTCGCCAGCACCTCATATAAACCACAGTGCATATTACTAAGCATTTAAAGAATTTTGCATTTTCTCTGCGTATATAATGTCCAATTAAAGCTAGTCAGTCATTAATTACGTGAATATTGTAGCATTCATAAATATATTTCATTGTAGGTACAAAAAAGAAAGTGATTAAGTGGTAAATACAGTGGGTAGACTGTGTTGCAGTAGATAAGAGAGCTTTTTTTTTCGGATTTAAGGTCCGAATTGTAGAAAGTTTCTCAGTGATCGATCTAGTCGTGAGCATAGTTAGAAAGAGATGTCGCTATATATAGCACATAGCCACATCCCTTTCTAGCTGTACTCAAGTAAAGATCAACACTTAGTTGTCATTCTGTAATCCGGCCCAAGACTTCTTTGCCGTTATGGCCACTTATTCAAGTGCGCGCATCTAAATATTGCTGCTTTAAAAAACTTTGAAGAATTTTATAAAAAAACTAGCGGACCCGACAGACGTTGTCCTGTCTAGTATAGTAGCGCCGTCTGTCGGATCCAATGTGAAACATTCCAAAATCAACAACTACTAATAAATTAAAAATTAATTAAAAAAACATTGTCCAGCGGACAAAATTGTGAATCTAAACCATTCTCAGATCCCCTTGAACACACACAAAAAATTTCATCAAAATCGGTCCAGTCGTTTAAGAGAAGTTCAGTGACATACACACTCACAGAAGAATTATATATATAAAGATATATTAACAACAGGGCAAAAAAGAGTTTCTACTCTATTCGATGTAGCACAGCTTCTAAAAATGTTGCAGTGACGTCACTCCTAAATATTTCTAGCCATTCACCACCAGAGGCGCTGATATCAATTAATTTCATTTCTGTGGCGTACTTCTATACGTAAAATTTATGAAAAAGTTAAGAATGAACTATTTTTCTGTAATCGATTGTAACCTACCCAGCGCATTAATAAAAACGAAAGTTGAAATATCTATAATGATTGAACACGTCAGCTATTGTTGACAATGGCGCTGGTGACCAAAAATCTTCTATCTCGAGCTCCTCCGTGCTTCGGATGGCATGATAAGCCGTTGGTCCCGGCTGCATCGGCAGTCGTTAGCACCCCCCAATCCGCACTGGGCCCGCGTGGTGGTTCATGGTTCAATCTCCCTATTCCATCCATAGGGACACTATTTAATATAGAGGCATTAATAGGCTGATGGTGAAGGAACTTACCTACTTTGTGGTTTTTTCAATTTCCCTCAGCAAATTGCCTAAACGCCTAACTTAGCACGGGATATTTTGCGATACATCAATATGATTTTGTTCAGCCGCTCGCACACAGTGTTCACGATCGTGGTACACATGAAGGAGAACAGCCCCGAAGGCGAGGAACTGGTGAAGATTGGCAAACTGAACCTGGTGGACCTGGCTGGCTCCGAAAATATTAGTAAGGTGAGTGTCGTACATATAAAATGCCATGGAATTTATCTGGGGGCAACAGAGAAAGGGCATGCTTCAACTGTCATATTATTATTATCTTGACGACCTCCGTGGCCCAGTGGTTTGTACGCCGGGTTTCATGGCGTCGCCGACTCGAGAGGTCCCGGGTTCGAATCCCGGTGGGGGCAGATGTTTGTGTGATGAACACGAGCATTTGTACTCCAGTCATGGATGTTTAATATGTATTTCTATATAAATATACTTATATAAGTAAAGTATATGTATTCTATCCGTTACCCTAGTATCCCATAACACAAGCCTTACAGTACTTACTTTGGGGCTAGGCTAATTGGTGTGAGTGTTGGAAATATTTATTATTTATTTATTATTCGGAGACGGGTACCGCGACCACACCCGCCCTCTCGGCACACACTAGGGGACCGCGGTCCTCATAGTGCGTGTCGGGTGACGGTGCAGGAGTATTGTCTGGTTTTTACTGGCCCTGTCTAGGGCGTAGGTAGGGCCCTGTTCACATCGGCGAGCTCCAGGTCTAGCTGAAGGGGACAGGGAGGAGTCCCACATACCTTCTTCTCGCTCCCCCCGTGGTTGAAGGATGCGTAAGGCATTTTCCAGACACAAAAAAAAAGCTTTTCACGCACTTCACTCATTAAATAAAACAAGTTTTAACGGTATATATGCACTGATTTATTATTCATTATTCGGACGACGCATCATGTAAAGGATGCGAAACGTTAATAAATAAATAAAACCATATAGTGGCAAAGTAGACTCGTAGGCCCGTATTATAGTAAGATTCACAGTAATTAATCTAGTCTTGAGCATAGTTAGAAAAGGATAATGCTATATATAGCACATGCTATCGTTATTTGTATAGTATAGTGTTTACATAAATCCCGACTACCTCCGTGACCGAGTGGTTTGTACACCTGGTTTCATGGTGTTGCCGACTCGAGAAGTCCCGGGTTCGAATCCCGACGGGGGCAGATGTTTATGTGATGAATACTAGCATTTTTGTACTCCAGTCCTTGATGTTTAATATGTGTTCCTATATAAATATACTTATATATGTACACGTGACGAGACGAGACGAGACATGGACACTCACGGCTGGACGAGTCCACCAGTTTAAAGTCGCTCAGAGAGCTATGGAAAGGGTTATGCTCGGAGTATCCCTGAAGGACCGCATCAAAAATGATGTAATCCGACAGAGAACCAGAGTCACCGACATAGCCCACCGAATTAGCGTGGGCTGGTCACATTAGCCGCAGAACTGATGGCCGTTGGAGTCAGAAAGTTTTTGAGTGGAGACCGCGACTCGGTAAACGTAGTGTAGGACGCCCTGAGACAAGAGGGGATGATGATATTCGTAGGCTGGCCGGAGTGGGCTGGATGAGAGTAGCACAAAATCGGAAGCAGTGGCGTGCATAAGGGGAGACCTATGTCCAGCAGTGGACGAACATGGGTTGATGATGATGATGATATATGTACAGTATATCTATTACCCTATTATCCCATAACACAAGACTTACCGTCCCCGTAGCATGAGCACCACAAATTACAATATATCAGGTTTTTTGAAATGAAATAATAATAATAAATGTTTTATTCCAGACTTTAAATCCATACACAAGTGTTAGTAACAGACGTAATCTTATTCAAGTGGAAATGAAATTTATCCATTTACACAAAACAGAGCTACATTTTGGTGGTGATTTTCATTTAGTTCGTCCATTTAGCCATCGACAGGGCATGTGAATGTCAAACTTAATTTAATTGTAAAAAGTTTATCGCGTGTCACTGTCAAACTGCATAGTAATTTGACAATTGAGCGTGATAAAAACGAGCTATGTATCATATCGCGGTGATCATGCTGGGGGGGGGGGGGGGGCTAGGCTAATTAGTTAAAAAAAATAACTATTGTTTTAGGCTGGGTCGGATAACCCTGCGAAGCGTGAACGCGCTCGTGAATGCGTCAACATCAACCAATCGCTGCTCACTCTCGGCCGGGTTATCACTGCGCTGGTGGAGAGGCATCCGCACATACCCTACAGGTATACTATATTATACTCTATCCGACGCCCTTTGACGTCAAAAGTTAAACAAAATGAACCAATGTTTCCAAAACTTTCTTGTCGAGAGTAAAGATGGATGGTGTAATCAGACTGATTACAAAATGTCACAATTCAACTTAAATTATTTTTATGTTTTTTTTTAAGCATTTAACTGCTAGATGTTTAAATCTAAAGAAAAGTTTACTAGAAAAAAAATTCTAGGCTAAGAAAATTTCGACGCGGCGAATAGGGCCGTGGTAGCATAACGGTCAGTGCATTCGCCCGGATAGCGAAGGATGCGGATTCGAGTCCCGTCCGCTGCCTGGTCCGCGTGGATTTTTTTCTAGTAAACTTTTCTTTAGATTTAAATTATTTTCTTTATCACTACTCTTTAACTTAGTAGTATGATATTATTACACTGCTAGATATTTAAATCTAAAGAAAATTTTACTAGAAAAAAAAAATATACGGACCAGGCAGCAGCCAGGACTTTTTTTCAAACATTTAATTGCCAAATGTTTATATCTAAAGAAACGTGGAATTAATAAAAAGTAGTGCTGTATTAATAATTCAACAAAGCTAAATAAATAATAATTTCATTAATTTGCATCATATTAAGATAACACATCCTTGCATAGTATGCTCTCTGTTATTTCCTATCAATCTTACCAATACCTCATTTCATAACCATCTCGCAGGGAATCAAAGCTGACCCGCATCCTCCAAGAATCCCTGGGTGGTCGCACCAAGACCTCCATCATAGCCACCGTATCCCCCGGACACAAAGACCTGGAGGAAACCATGAGCACCCTGGAGTACGCTCATCGGGCCAAGAATATCCAGAACAAGCCTGAAATCAACCAGAAGATGACGAAGAAAGCTATACTTAAAGAGTTTGCCGAAGAAATTGATAAGTTGAAAAAGGATCTGCAGGCAGCGAGGGATAAAAATGGTAAGTTGACATTAATTTGCTCTTTACTAAGGACTTGCTGTTTCATCGATAGTTAAAATTTACTTATGTTAAAGTCACATCAAATACATAGCAATTTGTAAGATTAACACATATGAGTAGCTGGCGAACGAAACGGTATAATTACATAAAATTAAATTTTACAGGAACTGTATAAAACTGAATGACATACCTCCAGTGAGCTTTTGGCATGGTTTTTAATTTATAAATTTAGAAATTTTAGCACTGTTTTAGGCAGTTTTGATTGAAAATTATTTGAGATTCAACGGGCCTGAAACCTCCAGACTGAAAAAACTAAGTAGTTTGACCAGATGCGTAATTATACCGTTTTGTTCGCTAGCTCCTCATATATGTTTTTTTCTATATATTTTAAATATAGTCAAATTAAACTATAGATGAAACAACGCGGCATAAGGCGTCAGAAATTTGAATTACCTATGTGTCAATCCCAGATAGATAATTCTCAATAATTCCAATGCAAAATTTAAAGAGACATTTACAGAGTGTGAGACTCTTAAAATGTCTCAAAGAGAGACGCAAAGTGTCGATGTCCCCAAATTTAGATGTTTGTTAGTTAGGCATAAATATCTAAATAATTAAAATAAATAGTTATTAAATAATAGGACTGGTGATGGTGTAAATGGTACATTATCAGAAAATAATGGACACATTTTTTCTTTTATCAATCAAACAAAAAATAACAAAGATATAGAGCGGCAAGTTTGCAGTAATTTTCATAAAGCCATTTTTCATAAAACAGACTAAGAATTGGAATTTAGCGCTGTAGTAACTTTTATTCAGCTCAGAAATACCTATCCAACAACGTAACACACATAGCTATTCGAAGGTGGGACCAGATTTCATACAAACCCTGGCATCATCCTTTTATATCCCTTAAACCAAATTCCACTCCAGGTGTCTACTTAGCCAGCGATACCTTCGCTGAGATGACGCTGAAACAGGAGGAGCAACGGAAGGAGATCCAGGAGTTGTTGCTGAAGAAACGCGCCATGGAAGAGGAGAGAGACCGTGCGGAGAGTGTGTTCAACGAATTGAATCAGAAACTTCAGATGACGGGCAGCCAGTTGGACAACACTAGGGCTCAACTCAACACTACCAAGGCACAACTAGTGGACACCACCAATGTGAGTATTGAAAATTACGAATAAGGGTATTTGACAAATTTTAGAAAACGATTACACATTCAAATTATTCATCATTCAAACGATCTATACAGGGTGTTACAAAAATACAAATAAAGCTTGAAGGGCGTTGAAGTACAACATCATATAAGGAGTCTTTTCTAATTTTCTTAAAATATTTGCAAGAAGTTTTTACTTTTATAAAAACAGTTATTTTTAATGATAAATAAAAATATCGATCATTTTAAGACACGTCACTAGTTCCAGGTCATGCACCTTACCAGGAGTAGTAATAAATCTGCTGTAATAAAGAAAATTAGAGAAGATTCATTATATGATGTACTTCAACGCCCTTCAAGATTTATTTGTATTTTTGTAACATTCTGTATGTATAAAAATCAATTGCTGTCCGTTAGTCTCGCTAAACCTCGAGAACGGCTGAATGGATTTATCTTATCTTGGTCTTGAAATGTTCGTGGAGGTCTAGGGAAGGTTTAGAAGGTGAGAAAAAATCGAATTCTACACTACAGCTCTACACTGAAGCGAAGCGAGGGCGGGTCACTAGTTTACAAATGTTTGTGGAGACTATGAAAACTAGATTTTTTTATTCTGTTGCGTGATTCAGTAAAAAAACCCAATATCAAAAATTCATTTTTGAAGTTGCTGTGAAAACGTTGTCTGGACATCACGGCGTCTCGCTAGTATGTGACGTCACACGACTGTCATTTGAATTGTCAAACGATACAATGTAGTGTTACTTTGGCCGGAAGTTTACTAGCGTGTGACGTTATTTTAGTCTTGGCCAATCCCTGGCGTTTTCGGTCACGTGACCATGGCGCAAAAAATCATTTCTATTTAATGATTTTATAGGAAAGTTATTAAATATTTGTTATATAATATAAAGTCGCTTCTAATATTCATATTAAATAAAGATGGCATCAATAAGGATCCGTAACAATTTTATTTGCGGATTTATAGAGCAAATGGTTCCAAAAAATACAGTGGTTAAATTTTTGTTCTACGACAAATATTAACGAAGTTATGACCAAATAACTAAACGAATTTTCGGCTGGCCGCATGGTGGCTGTGACGTCACAGACCTCTAGCGTTTCTAGCGTTAAAATCTAATATATTAAATTCTCGTGTCGCGGTGTTTGTGGTTAAACTCCTCCGAAACGGATCGACCGATTTTCGTGAAATTTTATATGCATATTCAGTAGGTCTGAGAATCGGACAACATTTATTTTTCATCCCCCTAAATGTTAAGAGTAATTAAGTAATTAAGTACCCTTAATTTTTTTTTTTCAATTTTAGTTTTTTTTTAATTTTTTTATGATAGGTACATTATACAAAAATAAATATTACCCAAAATTTTCGCCCTTCTACCACCAACCCCTATTTTTTTATGGCGGTACGAAGTTCGCTGGGTCAGATAGTTTCTATATAATTTTCTTTACACTAGAAGCATAATGAACTGGCCACTTCTCAAATGTGTGATCTCAACAATTTTAACAATTACCAGATGCTCCGTACCAAACAATTGGAGTATGAAGAACAGAAGTATCTGGTGGCGAGTCAGCAGCAAACGGAACATAAACTTGGTGCTCAAGCAAAGGAATTGGTACAAGTGGCTGATACTGTGGCGGCACATGCTGCTGCCTTGCATGATAATATCGCCACGAGAAGGTAAGATTTATTTATTTATTCAAGTTACACATGCAGGCTTACAGAAAAATCCAAAACGCCGGCAAGTCATACATAAAAAACATTAACATTCATATAAGGTGCTCATTCAATTCAATAAAATTAAGAAAAACAGAAAAGGAGATAATAAAATAATTATAAAAAGCAGTAATGTCAAATAGTAATAGAAACAAAGTCAAATCGCTCATTGTAAAAATATTATTAATTAAAGTTATAATAAAATAGAATCAATAGCACAATAAATAATGTCAAGTAAGAACAAATAATGTGTTAATTGATGTGTATGTGAATAAGAAAGATGTAACTAATACTTACTTGTAATACTTGCTGACGTTAGGGTTAGTTTAACTGATGCGTGTGAATAAGAAAGATTTGATTAATACTTGCTTACGTTAGGGGCCGTTCATAAAATACGTTCGCATACAAGGGGGGGGGGGGGGGGGGGGGGGTCTTGCTAAGCGTGACAAGATGTGACAAGGGGGGACGGGGGGTCTACTGCAACGTGACGTTCGTCCTTCATTAAAAAAATTTAAATTAGTATTTCTTTCAACTATTTATCTTTCTCAATTTTCATCAAGATAGAAAATCATTTATTTCGTATTTAGTAAACATATAGACATTCAAACGTATATAGTTTTATTATGCAATAAATTGTTACTTGATATATTTACTCATGTTTGTTGTTCGACATTACCGCATATTTATATATTTAAATTTTATTATAAAAAATAAATAAATATTTAAATTCTTAAAATTTGTGTACTATCAATTGAAATTAATTATTCTGGGGAAGGGGGGGGGGGGGATTCTCCGTTTTTGTTACGGAATATTTCAAGAGGGGTCACAGAAAGTGTGACACAGCGTGACAATAGGGGGGGAGGGGGTCGGAAAAAGCTGATTTTAGCGTGACGTATTTTATGAACGGCCCCTTAAGGTTAGTTTAGTTTAAAAATAAGGGAGATGTATGTGAATAAGAAAGATATAACCATCTGTTCATTGTTCCAGGAGTATAGAGTCTGCCAACCTTGAGGTAACCAGGACATATCGACGCGAGTCTGCCCAACAGAGAACGTTGATCACTACAAGCATTCACCAGTTTGCTGACACCTTGCTTCAGACGCTCAACGGAATGCATTCTACACTAGGTAACGTATCATTATTGTATCAACTTCCAGTTAAAGTGTAGTGGCGACATCTATATTCATATTCATATTCACTTATTGCATTCTTGCTGTTTACATGCTGTTAAAATATATATATATATATATATATATATATACATATCATTCCAAACAAGAACCCAGTTAGGGTATTGCAATAATCCTAAACTAAATAGATAGAATCTACAGTCATAATTATGAAACGTTCCAATATTACAAATTTTTAATCCTGTATAACATATTGTAAAAATTGTGTCAAATTTTTAAATTTAATACTAAATAGGTATATTATATGCCCCACATATATCCAACGGATGGAGGAAATCATCACTCACCTCCTCAAGTGATGGCGCTACCGACGCTGCGATCAATACGTATGGAAGCCTACATCGCGCAAGTGAAATTCGGATGCTAACACTCCATAAATACAATGCCCGACCAACATCAGTCGGGCCGCGGCTCCCGAGCTAACATCACCCAGTTTTGAGGAAAATCTTCCCCTTTGGCCTTGCTACAAAAGCAATTCAATTCATTAATTTCAGCCATTTAGCCATATCAATTACACAAAAACAAGAATAATAATAAAAGCAGCTTACAAATAACAAATTAAAAAACAAAATAATTCAAAATAGGTACTTTACAGATAAAATAATTGATTAAAATAAATACAAAATTACAAATGTCAATGCAATAAATGCTGAAATCTCGGTGGTCCAAGCACGAATTATTTGATAGCTCCGTTACGTATCGCATCGTCGAAGTTTCTATGAAAACCAAGCAGTGCCCTCTATCGGACATAAAAACAAACTACATTTTTCCTTTCGATGATTTTTCAAAATTTCGTGCTTGGACCTGGAAACACTTGCTGAAATCTCAAAAAACATTGGGTTGTCAGTACCCCAAACCTCAGCTAATGAAGAGTTCGTATCGTCATAGTTTCAATGAAAGGAGCTACTTTGCTCTTACGTCCGGCAGAGGCGCTGCTCAGTTTTCATAGAAAATTTGACGATGGTGATTTGAACACGGATATTTCAAAGCTCTTACTTGGCGTACTGATTTAAGACAGATAATATTGAGTACTACCAAGATGTAGTTTTAATTTCACTGTGGTATTAATTTATAACTAGCAAACCAGTGAACCAAATGTTCACCAAAAAAAAAATGTATTTACTTAATTGAGAACTTCGGAGATTTTGTGTGATTTCGTTTGAAATAGAAATCACGTGATTTCTCGAGACCCGGAAGTGCTACGTTACTCACATCCGGTTTGTAGTCTATTAGATAAGAGATTTAAGTTAAAAACGAGTGTGCTTATGACCACACGACTGAAGTAAGACTTCTTAAGCTCCATCTGTATATATATAAATATATATATATATATATATATATAGAGAGAGAGAGTGCAATATATACATCTATGTACATATACATATTCCATTTACTAGCTATAAGAGAACGAGGGAATGAAAATATGCGCGCGCACTGTTTTCCCTTGCTTATATCCCCCACTCAACTCCCGTTCGCCCGATCATACTTTTCGTAATGCTTTCGCCAGCTTACACCCTAAGTGAAGCGTGCGTAAAGAAGTTTTACTTCAAAAATGGTGGCAGGCAAGTCTGCGTTGTTTTTTGTGTTATAGACGGTAGCGCCCTTGCCTATTATGCTTTAAATTATATTTGTCAATATACTGTTAATGTATGTGTGACGACCCTACGTGGCCGAGTGGTTTGCACGCCGGGTTTCATATTTCGCCTACTCGAGAGGTCCCGGGTTCAAATCCCGGTGGGTGCAGATGTTTGTGTGATGAACACGAGCATTTGTACTCCAGTCATGGATATGTAATATATATTTCTATATAAATATACTTATATATGTACTGTGTATGTATTCTATCCGCATCCCATAATACAAGCCTTACAGTGCTTACTTTGGGCTGAACTAATTGGTGTGAGTGTTGGAAATATTTATTTACTTAATTCATTTTCTTTACAGATAATTTTACAACTAACACTATGGAGACTCACGACCAGAACATAAGCAAGTTATCAGAATTAATCAACAGTATTTCTGAAGCAACAAATGAGGTAAGAACATTCATATCTGGCGCTGTACGCAAGCGTTTTTATTTCAATATTACATATATTCGTATATTGAGAAAAAGCTACTTTATGTCGACTGAATAAGGTAGATTTTAATTTTTTTTACTCTGTTTCCAACTCTAGTATAGGTGAAAGCGATGAAGCATAGTGTCGACGATACATACAGGCGTCATCCTTATTGGCAACGATCATACGATGACATGATGCTATCTCGTCGTACGATGAGTTTAATTAAACAAATTTTTCTATATTAAATAAATCATGATTGTGTTGACGTTGTAACAACATAATGTTTGTTAATTGTAAACTTTTTACATTATACTTTTAATGTTGTGGAGTTATTTTCACTCGGTTTTCTCCGCAGCTTAATAATATGTGAAATAACGAGTGGTAAGGAAATAATTTTTTATTGGATGATTCTAAAGAGTCAAATACATCCAATTTGAATAAAGTTATATTGATTTCTGATTTGATAAAGATTTCTACAGACATGTCCTATTACTGCTCGTTAGCCATTGCATGAGCACAGGTTTATTTTCATCGCACAATGAGATGGTATCGTGTCATTACGATCGTTGTCAATTGGAACTACGCCATAAGAACTATTGGTGGCGCGATCGCTTCATCTTTCTCACATTGATATCAGCACACTTAGCTAAAAAAAAGGTTAAATTGAATGAATGGTTCAGCTATCTCTTTTTTGGCAATAAAGAACGAGAGAGACAAAACTAAACAGTGTGAAGTTCGTTTAATCGAGTCATCGAGCATACGATATCGTGAAAACAATCGGGAGTGAAATTCTGTACTCGTACTGCGACACATTTCGAAAACGTATAGTTTGATCGAATCGACGAAGACGATCGTTCGTTTCGTATTAAAAAAACTCATACTAAGGGTACTGATTTTTAGTTCTCGTTAGGGTCCGTTGTGACGCTACTGTTCAAGTTTCCATACAAAATTTGACATCATTTCGGACTCGCAAACTATTCGAATTCGATATTGGTTCGTGCTAAGGGTACTAACCGGTTTTACTTTACGTGGCTTGGCTTTCGTCATTTATCGCCATAAATGGATAGTAGTATTGATGAATATCTGCTATACTATGCGAAACTTCATTTCTTTTTTTGTCTAATGTGACTTCTTTCTGGAGCCCATCTGCCAGCATCCCGTACTGAGAAATATCAGACACTTCATATGGCTATTCGTAATTGCTATTTATCATTTTGACAGCAATTTGTCCTTATCATACTCTATAGGGACAGTGAAAAGGAGAGACTGCTGTCAAGTTTACTGTACTTTTTATCAGCAATCAGAAATCAATATATCTTTATTCAAATTGGATCTATAGTACAACTCTTTTGAATCGTCAAAAAAAAATTTTTCCCCTACCACTCGTTATGGACATATTTTTTAGCCACGGAGAAAAACGAGCAAAAAAAACTCCACAACATTAAAAGTCTAATGAAACAACATTTACAAATCATTATGTTGTTACAACGTCAATACAATTATGATTTATTTAATATAGAAAACCTATTGGAATGATTGGAACAGTTCAAACCCAAGCATTTTTGTCTGTAATATAATCAGACACTTTGTAATAAGCTTTTTTAATTAGTGCTGTTTTTTATAATATCTTTAAATTTATTTATGGCTAACCCTTGGATATTGCTTGGGACTATCCAAGAGGTATTGGTGGTGTCTACAAGGCCCACATTTCTATCCTTTACATTCACAGTTCATTAAGTAATAAATTGTTAACATTGAACCAGTGAATTTTCTTCGCTTTATTCGTTTACACAATTAATATATCGTGTATTTACTTTTGTGTAATGCTAATTTGTGAAGTTTAAATTTAATTAAACACCAATTGTGCGTGAACCAAATCATTATATTTTTGTGACACTACAAAACATCGAACGACAACTCTTAGTCATACATAGTACATTTAAAAAGAGTATAATAAATTCACAATGAAGATCCTAACATTTACAAATAACATATACGAATAGCCATGTGAAGTGCCGACATAAGCGTGCTCGGAATAGGGATGATGACTATTCTTATTTTCTTCGTTTATCAGGTAGATTATCAAAAAATATTGCACACGTATTTTTTCTTTTTTCACATAATATAAACATTGCAGAGATATATTGATTTGAAAATTCGCATGACGTCACGTTTTACAATTAAACAAGTACAATTTTCACTCAATAGTGACGTCACGAGCCCCTACTCCCAAACTTTGACGCGCTATAACTTTATCATTTTTTGGTTGATTGACCAAAGAAAAAATACGTGTACATTATTTTTTGGTCATCTAACTGACGGACTAAATAGAATTTCGTTTACTGGACCCCGTCATCACCCCTATTGTTTGCTCAATAAATTGAACGCGAATATTTAAAGTTCTTAACTTTGTATCATAAGCGTCTAAATGATATGGTAGCCGCTTACCATCAGGCGGGCTAAACGCTTGTTTCTCACCCTTTTAACATTAAAATAAACCTGTTTGGTTAGATGAAGTGCCTAAGTGAAGCGACGCACGCGCGGGTCTGCAACGGGATGGGTGACCACCGCAACAGGTTCGACGATTGTCTGGGAGCTCACATTAATACGATACGCGCAGCCCTCGAAGCTTCCGTGACTGCGCTGACTGCCAGTCTACAAAACGCCAGGGATATTGTGGGGAGAAACGATGTCGCCAACTTTGTTAACCAATGGGTGAGTTGAAACAAAATAGAGATTTATTAGCGAGTAGAAGTAAAAACAGCTTTTTTAGAAACAAGTTTTCATTTAAATGCGCTAAAAAGAATAAAATAACATTTTCCTTTAAAACTTTTACTATGAACTTATGAAAGTCATTACACGAAAGCTTGTCGCGAGATTTAAAAAATTACAACACTAAATCATGCAAAGATGAAACTTAAGAGTTTTTATTGACTTATCAGAAATTCGTACTGACAAATGATGTTTATTTTCTGTTTAGAAGTGATTACATAGAAATAATATGTTAATAATTCTACTTATAATATGTTACACCATTTTTTTAAGTTTGATGTTGCAGATCAGTTTTTACAGCAACTTGCTGAACATTTTGGCATTTTTTTGTGCTCTGACTTACACTTTCGCCACTTGAGTCAGTCTAATGTATTATCCGAGCGCAACTAGTTTTATTACGTGAGTTGGCCTAACTAGTTTTGTTACGTGAGTTGGCCCAACTAGTTTTGTTACGTGAGTTGGCCTAACTAGTTTTGTTACGTGAGTTGGCCCAACTAGTTTTGTTACGTGAGTTGGCCCAACTAGTTTTGTTACGTGAGTTGGCCCAACTAGTTTTGTTACGTGAGTTGGCCCGACTAGTTTTCTTACGTGAGTTGGCCCAACTAGTTTTGTTACGTGAGTAGGCCCAACAGCTGGGGGAAATCGACCGAGGTGAACGCTGAGAATGTACAATAATGATTAAAATATTATTTTACGATATAGCCAGCAGTACTGTAATGAGTTTAATTGTTAATTTCATGAATGTGCGTTCATAAACTACGCTTTTAAAAAAGTCGTATAATTTCTTAATTCAAATATTTCGACATGAGTGTAGATAAAAGATATTAAGTGACACTGGGCTAAGTTTATTTTTTTCAACTAACATTGCCTACATCTCAAGCGTTCTTTATCCTCCCTCAGTACACCGACGCTTCAGGTCGCGTTTCATCGCTTCAACGCTTGCACGCTCGCTTAGTAAGCGACGCTTCGGATGCGGAGCGACGTCGCCGCGAGGTTGCGAAACGACACCAATCACAGAGGACAACAAGGGCTCAACAGAGGCAACAAACGCTGCAGAATTGTATGCAGGTATATAATGGATATTTGATTACGATATAGGTCGATTTTTCAGTCATATAGAATACAGGAGACAACATCAATGGGCTTTTTGACTTATATCAAATTGCACTATACAAATGATAGTAATATAAGTTATTTACGGGATTGTTACCATGTACCTTGTTTTAACTCTTAAACTCGCTAAAAACAAGGTACATGATAACAATCCTGTAAATAACTTATATTACTATAATGTTAGTGCCCATGAAAGTTTAAAACAATATAGCACTATACAAATGTTTATATCTTATAATTTTTGGTATGAGGAACCTAAATACATCGATTTCACTTCATAAAATTAGAAAATTGCTATATTAATTTAATTTGAAATAAGTTTTTAGTATATGCTTTATAAACACTAAAAACGCTGTCCACCATGATTGTGACGTCACAAAATTTGTAAACAACTAAACGTCATTATCATGTTACTGTGGTTTCTTACGTCGGACTAAAATATATCTAAAAACTGTTATATCTTGTAGAAAAGTTTCCGTTTATTGGTTTTGTTGAGAAAATTAATGCTTGACACCGGATTTGTGAACGCAGAAACGACACAACTCTTTGACTTAGTAGGTACATTTATATCGTTAAAAATTGTACTTTCAAACTTCAAATATTATTCAATGAGTACTTACATTGAACTGATCTTTGCTAAAAGAAATTATTTCAGACGATAAAGTTACAGGATTTAGCAAGTTTTAAATGTGTAGGTATATGTATTTCTCTAAGCAATTTAAACCACAACTTTTCTGGAATCTTTAACAATGTGTTTCTACAGTCTTGTATGACGACGAAATCTATTGGAAATCATGCTTTTACAATATAAATTCAGATAGGTTATTTCCTACGTGCTTGTGAGTGTTTGTTTACAAATTAAAGCGTTTTAACGCGACCTACAATGCGAGGAGAGCCTTGCAGCCTAAGAAAAACTAGAAGAAATTGGACACGGCTATTAAGACCGCGGTCGCATAATTGGTCAGTGCATCCGCCCGGATAAAAGACGGTGCGGGCTCGAGACCCGTCTGGTAGCGTGGAATTTTTTCTAGCTAATATTTTCTGTAGTCGTTTTTTATTCATTTATCGAATACTTTGTTAATTGAGTAATAAACTTAAAACAACACCAAATCATCCACGCTTATACAACATATTTCGTTATATCGTTTTGAACGCACTTTTAAACAAAAACCAACATTTTGATCCACAATAAATAACCGTCTATTTTCTCTCAGCAAATCGAAGAGGAAAAGGCAGAAATCCAGGGGCGTTTAAAGAAGCAACTAGAAGATATAGAACAGGAACGATCGGCCACGGAAGAACGCCTCCAACTGTGGGTGGAAGAGGAGAGAAGGTTATTGGAAGAGAGGCTCGCTAAACACCTCGCTACAGAGAGACAGGTATGTAATTCCACTATGTAAAGGGAAATATTTAAATGATCACCAAAAAATACAATTGGTCAACTAAAGTGTAGGTTGGGTTTACTAATTGTTTTTTTTTTTTGAAGATCATTTAAATATGATTCCTATAATAAAACACATACTAGCGAGTCTCATACAATTTTCATCCCTCATTTTACCCCCTTCAAGTTTTATTTTTTACTACGATAATCTGTCTCTTTACTAAAATTCAGCAAAATCAATTTAGTACTTTAGCTGTGAAAGCTCACTTTCGTATTTATAATTTTCCCTGTGTATTCATTCTGTGCAAAAAAAATCCCCATAAAGCCATAAGCTTTTCATTTAATCTCCTATAACTTCCAATTTCGCGATGAAAGGTAGCCCAAGTTTTGTAATAAACTCTGTTTTTTATTAAATTATTATTTAAAATTAAATCTGCTAGATTTATAAATTTAAAGAAAAAAATCAAAAAAAAAATCACTCGGTCCAAGCAGGAGAACAGGATATAGATTTATTAGAAAAAGCCATTCTCAATAAACAAACATGACAAGCTTAACTCAAAGTCAAGAGAAACAACAACAAAAAAATATCAATAGAATATTTTTGGATTTATGAAAAACTTTGTTTGCGGCCAATGTTAAAGCAGGTTCACAACATCAAGTCGTGGACACCTACTAGTATAAAAAAAGAAGGAATAACCATAAAAATTCAAATTCAATATCGTTTATTCAGTCTAGACTGTTGACAAGCACTTGGGAATGTCGAAAAGCTACGGCGGGAGACCTTGTACTGAGAAGAAACGGCAGGAAACTCAGCAAGGGCTGTTTTTTTTTTCTCCCTGTATTATATACAGAGTCGTCAAATTGAAAAATTACTTCAATATGTAATCACTTTCCATTATAAATGTGCATAAAGTAGGAACAAAATTTACTTTTTCTCTTTTATTTTTGTTTGTCCTTCCAACCAGTTAAAAAATAAACTAAAATATTGACCAATCCCTCAGGCACTAGAAGAAAGACTGAACAAGAAGATGATCCAAGTAGAAGAGGAACAGAAGCTGCTAGAAGACAGGATAGCCAGGCACGTGAATTGGCAGAAGCAGCAACTGCAAGATTGCAGCGAAGACTTAGAGATGGCTGATAAAGACTTAGAAGAATATGAATCCGGAATGGAGGATACAAGGAAACACTTCACTAAATACAACAAGGAGTTCGAAGAGGGTCAGTGGATATTGTGTTTCTTTTATTTACTGACAATAATTACGGACCATTTTTAAAAATTAAAGATAAAATTAGTACAGTTTATAAATCTAAAGAATATTTAGCAGGAAAAAAAACACAGAGCTAAAGTGTTAGGTAAGATTCTAGTTTGATTTAGAACATCGATATAATTAAGACGGGAACATAGTTTTTTTGGACTTTATGTCCTTTCCCTGGACTCGAATCTCTTTACCAAAATTCATCTAAATCTGTTCGGCGGTTTGAGTTAAAGAGACAGGCACACTTATGCATTCATAATATTATTATAGTAGTGTTGGAAACCTCTTTGATATTATGAGAATGTCATATGGTATTGTGTCATTATTTTATTGGAAGTTTGTTATTCAGTACTGTACCCCTAGCGCGAACCAATATCGAATTCGTATCGTTTGCGAGTCCGAAATGTCATTGTCAAATGTGTATTTTAGTGATTTTTAGTTCTTGTTGTGTACTTTGTGCCGCTGCTGTTCAAGTTTCCATACAAAATTTGACATTGACATTTCGGTTTGCAAACTATTGTATAGCGGAAGATGCGGGTTCGAGTCCCGTCTGCTGTCCCTAGTTTGCATGGAATTTTTGATGTGTAACATCTTTTGGGGCAATTTGTGGGAGTGATTTCGTGAAGTGGGACGGAAGTGTGTAACAGGAAGTTTGGGAAGCGCGCGCTATTTTGATTTTAGAACAATAATGTTGAAATGGCTTATTCCATTTGTAGTAGGTTCTATTTCTTTTTTTACTAATATAAGGTGAGGTGTCAAATGTTACACATCATACGCGACTACTGTAAGGCGCTCATTTTTTTTTGTCAATGTTATTGATCATTAAATTATTTGTTTCTTTCTTGTTATCTGTTAGGGTCGAGTGCAGTGAGCGCAGATTTGGAAGTGTTGACCCGCAACGTGTGCGACCTCACGCACCACGTGTGCAACCAACTTTATGCTGCTCTAATGCAAGCGGAGAATAATGCACAGGTAAATATATAATCATCATCATCATCACAAGCCCAATATTGTCCTCACTGCTGGGGCACAGGCCTTTTGTAACCCACCACGCGGACCCAGTGCGGATTGGCGGGTGCTAACGACTGCTGGTGCAGCCGGGACCAACGGCTTAACATGCCTTTTGAAGCACGGCGGAGCTTCGAGATACAAAATTTTTGATCACCTATCTAATGACCGGCCCCGTGAATGTTGCATAACTTCAACGATCGCAGCCGAATGCGCCAATCACTTGCGCCATCGAGCTGCTCCGTCATCGAAAAATATATAATAAACAGGTATATATTCAGGATTACATGTTTCGGTCTGCCCGTGGAGAATGTAAAACTGTACCCCTAGCACGAACCGAATTCGTAACGTTTGCGAATCCGAAATGTCATTGTCAAATGTGTACTGATTTTTAGTTCTCTTTACGTACTTTGTGGCACTGCTGTTCAAGTTTCCATACACAATTTGACATTGACAATTCGCACGCGCAAACTATTCGAATTCGATAATGGTTCGTGCTAGGGGTCCGGGGCAGGAAGTGTGGATGACTAAGCGGTCGTGATGCGAGCAATAGTTTAGAAATACATATTAAACGTCCATGACTGGAGTACAAATGCTCGTATTCATCACATTAACATCTGCCCCCACGAGGATTCGAACCCGGGACCTCGAGTCAGCGACATCATGAAACCCGGCGTACAAACCACTCGGCCACGGAGGTCGTCCAATTGTTTATATATGTTATCGGAATGGTTGAACTATGAAATACGTTAAAAACATTCTAGTAATGATATTCAGTCCACGCCAAATTTTTGCCCATGCATTCTACGTATGAAAAGACGTCTTTGCACAAAAAATGAGGCTAGGTTAATCTTCGGTCCGTATACCGTATACCGGACGCATCAAGTCGGTCGGATGCAGGATCAATAGCAAAAATCGCCATATAAGACGCAACATGATCAGCAAGATGTATAATGTCATCGAAATATAATAAATTCTGTAAGTTGATCAATTACCTAGGAAATTGATCAACTTTCGTAAGAATGTAAACTAGAGATAAAATGTTATATTATCTTACGGGAACATTTTCGTAAATTGATCAATTTACCGAGCTCAGCCGTAAAATAATACGTTAGTTGATGAACAAAAATTTTACATAGAGCCACAAAAGTTTTGTAGTGGACATGAGCAAACCAGTGAAAAGTCGGTACTTAGGGACCGAACAAAAATTTAAAAATTTGACGAAGGTATTATAGCTTATAACTGTACTTCCAGGGCCCAAGAGGTGATACTTGATTTCTTTTTTTTTTTTTGGAAAAGTCTCTTTTAACATAGTTTTTTTTCTGGCGCTTCGCCGGCCGCTGCCGCGGCACGCTCGTTTTGCTCGCTCGGCTCGCGCGTTTTGGCCACAACACTACCATAACCTAACCTAGTGTAAAATATCACCGCTTGGGCCCTGGAAGTACAGTTCAGTACTTTAGCACACTTATAGGCACCTATACAGTCATCTTGTTTATGAAAATATTTGCACATGTCTGTCTATGACGGCAAGCACCGAAGTCGCTAACGGCGACCAATCAGAAAGCTGTGTATTATTTTACGTAAACTTAAATGACGCAAAATTAAACTCTGTTCTAAGATTGGTCACACTACTTAGAATTTTACGTTGATAGGTCTTGAAATTTCAAGTTAGTTTATCAATTTACCGCGAGACGACGTAAATTGATCAATTTACGAAAATGTTCCCGTAAGATAATACATTTTATCTCTCGTTTTCTATCTTACGAAAGTTGATAAGTTTACTAGGAAATTGATACCTACGGAAGGTATTACATTCCGATGACATATATAAACAATTGGACGACCTCCGTGGCTGAGTGGTTTGTACGCCGGCTTTCATGGTGTCGCCGACTCGAGAGGTCCTACTTCGAATCCCGGTGGGGGCAGATGTTTGTGTGATGAATACGAGCATTTATACTCCAGTCATGGACTTTTAAAGTGTTTCTATATAAAATATACTTATATATGTACAGTATATGTTTTTCTATTCGTTACCCTAGAATCCCATAACACAAGCCTTACAGTGCTTACTCTGGAGCTAGGCTGACACCTACGGAATGTATTATAATTCGGTGAACTATACATTAATAGATTGTTTGTCTTCTGTTTAGCAACAAGCCAACGAACTAGCAGCCAGCTCGAACACGACAAGAGAACAATTGACATCCACCACAGAGAATATCCTATCAGAGGTCGTCAAATGCAACAAGGAAGCCTTACTCGAAGTTTATAACCGTTTCGAGGTATGTTCATTGTTCTGAAAGGTTGTACCAAGTAACCAACGATATTAAATTTCCTATATACACCACGTGCGCTCAAAATGTGTCCCAATCAAGTGCTTGAACACCACTCAAGCACTTCTTGGTTCACAGTCACGCGTGAACGCGTTGAAAAGTTAAGATGCCGCAGAGCTCCGTTAAAAAAATGCGTAAGAAAATACGAATAGTATGTAGTGTTGTTTTTACGACAGATATTTATATATTTTAATTCGAAGCATGTAATTGCTTGATGTTTAAATCTAAAGAAAATATAACTAGAAAAAAATCCACGCGGACCAGGCAGCAGACGAGACTCGAACCCGCACCCTTCTTTAGATCTGTCGTTTAAACATCAAGCAATTCCTTTAAATGTTTAATACTTGTAAAAGTTTCCTTTGACATTGTGGGTTACCTACAATGCGAAGAGATGGCGCTGCCTTGCAGCTTAAGAATGGCTAGAAGATTTTCGACGCGGTAGCATAATTGGTCAGTGCATTCGCCCGGATAGCGAAGGGTGTGGGTTCAAGTCCCGTCTGCTGCTTGATCCGCGTGGATTTTTTTCTAGTTATATTTTCTTTAGACAGATATTTAATCAAAATTTGTTGTTAATTTTACGCATTTAAAGCAAATTTTGTTCTTATATAATAAATAAACTGATTTAATAGAAAATATTTGTGAAATTCAAATGCACGGTCGATTATACGTCGCCGTATAGCCGTTTCTTTTCGTCGTGGTCCCTACCTGCTATATTGCTAACAACACATTCAGAAATGACCTTATATCAAACGAATAAGGTCTATATTCTTCCACAATTAGCAATAAGTCGTAAAATTTTACGAGTCGGATTTCGAACTGTCATAACTCTTTGACGCATGCGTTTTAATTAAGACCTTATACAGTATGTATTAAAGGTGACTTTCAATGTTTAAATAATGCCTTACATTGTTTTTGACTACGCGATCATCTTACGGAGCTCCGTGGATGGTCCAATGTACCTTTGGACAGGTTTCGGCCACAATTTTGTTCGTGTTGTTGTATCTAGGGTATTTAATATCGTTGATAGTAACATTTAAATACATCAAGCTAGTATTGAAGCCAGCAATGAGAATAATATATTGTTTATTATACCATCGCGCAATAATGGCAATAGGGTATTTGACAAGTTTTAGAAAACGATCTCACGTTATTGACTAATGTTTATGGAGTCCGTTAGAAGTGGATATGCATCATTCTGTTGTGTATTTCAGTAAAAATAACCAAATCAAAAACTCAATTTTCAAATTGCCGCTAAAACGTTTTTCTGGACAATATGGCGTCTTACTAGTGTATGACGTCACACGACTGTTATTAAAACGTCAAACGATACAATGTAATGTCACTTTGTGACGTCCTTTTAAGCTCCGCCAATCCCAAGCGTTTTGGGTCACGTGACAATAGATAAGAAAACTATGTCGTGGGTTTTTAGTAAAATTATGAATATTATTTTTGTAAGAATAGTAAAAACCCCTGCCAATATTCATTCTAAACACAGATGGCAACAATTGGCACTTTATTTTTAATACTGTCAAATACTCTATTAATATTGCTACTAAGCAGCTTCACTTTTTCATTTCATTTTTATAATTTATTATTTATGTGGCATATACAAAGAGGGAGGGAAAGCATTTTTTTCTAGTAGATCATCCACTAGTTATTAATATAGGAAATCATTTTATGAAAGCGTCAGTATCACATTGGGATGATAGGTTGTCGTAAGAATGCCAAATATATATTTTTTATAATCTTTATTTGGGAAACAAACAATGAAATAACACTTGTGCCTAGATCTAATTAATAAAATATACATCAGTAAAGTTCCCACTACACCACATAAAGGAGGTCAGATTGTTAAAATCAAGAAAGAAAGAAAAAAATCGTTAACATTTTTACCAATAAAAAAAAGTTACAAGTTTTGTAGATTACAATTATAATCATGAACTATCTACATATTGGTGTCGATTCTAGCATGATTCTCTAAACCTAAACTTAAATTTGACAGCAGTATATCCTTGTCATTCTCTATACAGAATGAAAAGGAGAGACTGATGTTAAATTTAGTTTTAAGTTTAGAGAATCACGCCAGAATCGACACCATCATATCGCGTATAATTTATATATTTTCTAATGATTCAAAATTGTTTCAGACCAATACCACCCTAACTGCCGCCGAGTTATCCCGCCTATCTGCCTCCATTACCACCATAAAAGACAATTCCCGTAACCACCTCTCTACCCAGTCTGAGACCTTGGAAGCAGTGCAGCATCACGCTATGAGCTTGGACTGCAATGTTAAGGAGGCGGTGCTGCAGTGCGAGTATCTGGAGAATAAGTACCTCAACGACGAGTATAGGATGTATACTTCTACTGGTAAGTTTATAATCTTCATCATCAGCCTATTTATGTCCCCACTGCTGGGGCACACGCCTTCCCAGATTGGGCCATGACCCACCACGCGGGACCAGTGCGGATTGGTGGATGCTAACGACTGCAGATGCAGCCGGGACCAACGGCTTAACGTGCCTTCCGAACCACGGAGGAGCTTAAGATAATAAGTTTTGGTCACCCATCCCATGACCAACCGTTGTGGAATTTACTTAACTTCCATGAACACGCCATCCACCTGCGCCATCGAGCTCCTCAATACTAACAAAGATTAATGTGATATTTTCAGCATATTTGTTTATTGCGTCAGATTTGAGTGCGACAATTTCATTTTTTTTAAATTATGTTAAAATTTATTTTTATAATAATTATTATGAAAAATCGTTTCACTTTTGACATGCGTACTCTGTACACACGTTTTTTTTATTATTTCGGCTTTTACAAATACGAACCACGGGATTCCAGACACTCGACAATTCAAAACAATATGTATATATATATATATATATATATATATAACGTAATCACAGTTCGTAATGCATATCTTCTATATATATAAAACTCAAAGGTGACTGACTGACTGACATAGTGATCTATCAACGCACAGCCTAAACCACTGGACGGATGATGACGGTAGATGTTATGACGTAGGCCAGTGGTTCTCAAACTTTTTAAATGACGGAACCCTTTTGGGAAGCAAAATACTTGATGGAACCCTACAATAAAACAATTATTTTTATAAGTGTATTCTATATTAATCAGCATAATAAAAGTACAATGTATCCGTTACTAATTATTATTTACTTCACCACTTGGTAAGGACAATAATAGAAAACATTAAAAAAGAAAAAATCTAACTAGTGGGAGGTATGAAACTGTTTTTTATTTTTCATCAATTGCTTGATATCAGGTTTGATGGAAGAAAGTTGGAGTCTCATATCAGCTTCGGCGTCCAGTCTATTGCGATATTTTGTTTTCGTGGCTGCGTAGGTAGAGAATCCTGTTTCGCACAAATATGTAGTTGGGAACGGGAGAAGAATATCCAGAGCCATTTGGCCAAGCATTGCATATTCATCTTGGATTCTGCACCAAAAATCATTAAGAGGCGTCGTTTTGAACAATGACTCCATACTTGTGTCTGATGACATTTCTAAAAGAGATTCATATATCTCATTTGACATGTTTTCAGGCTTTTCCAAGTTGGGTAAAAAAGGATTATGAATCCAGGAGTTCACTTTAATTTTTGTATTGTGTTCTTCGGGAAAATACTTTTCAAAAGATGCGCGCATCGAACTGAGATATTGGACCAATTCTTCAAACACATTATCTTCAAACATTTCTGAGTCGTTTTCGCTAACAAACTCAGTGAGTAACGTAAAACTTTCTATTTCTTTCTTACCAATGCAAATGATCCAAAAATCTAATTTTCTTTTAAAAGTAGTTATTTTATTATAGGCCTGAAACACTGTTGTCTGTTTACCTTGCAATGATAAATTTAATTCGTTAAGTTTTTGAAAGATATCCGCCATAAAAGACAATCGGAACAACCAAGTTTTATCATACAAACGGTCCTTCAAATTAAAAGAAGTATCTGCTGAAAGAAACATTTGTAACTCGGCTCTAAGTTCAAATAGCCTTGTTAAAGTTTTTCCCCGAGACAGCCATCGCACTTCTGTATGGAGCAGCAGTGTTTTATGTTTGCTGCCATAATCTTCACACAATAATGAGAACAATCGGGATTGTAGTGGTCGTGATTTGATAAAATTAATTATTTTTACCGCTTCATCCATAACTAATTTTAGATTAGACGGCATTTGCTTCATCGCAAGTGCTTGTCTATGCAGAATACAATGACTGGAACTACAATTAGGCGCTTTATTTTTCATTCGTGACACTGCTCCTGCTGTTTTACCTGTCATCGCCTTGGCCCCATCTGTACAAATGTCAATGCAATTGTTCCAACTGAGATTATGTTCTTCAAAAAATATATTTATTTTATTAAAAATTTCTTCCCCGGTAGTGTTTGTAAGCAGCGATGAACACATAAGCATGTCTTCTTCAAAAGAACTTTTATATGGATATCTCACAATAACCAGCAGGATAGCCAAACCAGCGACATCAGTCGACTCGTCCATTTGCAAAGCGAATCGTGTATTTTGTAGACGTGTAACTAGTTCTTGTTTGACGTAGCTTGCCAGATCATGGATTCGTCGTGAAACAGTATCGTTTGATAGCGGAACAGTAGAAAGATGCTTTGCAGATTTTTCATCAAGCATACATTTTGTTATGTCTAATACACATGGTTTTATTAATTTCTCAGCGATAGTGTGCGCTTCACCTGCTTGTGCAATGCGATAGCTAACTAAGTATGATGCCTCCGTGGCCTTTTCGTTGGTAGTTTGTGTTACATGCATCATATTTTTTTGACTTTCTAATAACTGATCTTTTTTGCGAACAAAAAATTCTTTATTCTTGTCTTTAGTCTCGGGGTGTACGGTTTCTAAATGTCGACGCAATTTGGCAGGTGCCATGGAACTATTAGGAAGCAGTTTACTACAGAGCATGCAGAGAGGTGAGCCGTTGGAATCAACAAATCCGAAACTGATATAAGATTCATCATACTTCCTTTTTTTCGTCTTTGAAACCGTCGAGCTTGACGTCGTGGCACTCGTGGCATCATCTTCTGGATCGGTGATTGCTAAATTCTCCGCGCGCATTGCTTTTGAACATTCAGCGTCATTAGAAGATGTTGTTGGAACACGTTTAACACCTTTAAGCCAACGTTCCATTCTTCTTTATTTATAATGTTACAAGTCAGGATAGTGGGGTTTAAATAATGCACAATCGTTACTGCGTATAAGAGACTAAATTTAGAACCTACAGGGAAGAAATGTATAAAACTGAGACAACAGAATACAGCAGGCAGTAAAACAATGAACACCAGTTTCTCGCTAGCGAGCTTGTAAGTAGGTAGTAACTTATCGCTCCGAACGCTAATCATCAACTGACGACGCCAACGCGCGATCGCCGCTTTTATACTTAGTCCTAGACTCGATCTCAAATATTCTCGAAAATACTCGAGTCGGCACCTTTGATAAACAAAAAGCAAAAATAAAAACAGAAATTTAAAAATAGCGTTGTAAACAATATCGACTTTATCCTTTGAAGTTAGAGACGAAAGTCGCTAGTTGACAACTATAGCGTCTAATTCAGAGGCGGCTTTTATCAAAGAGACTGAGCGCTTACAAGTATACTACCCGCTCGTTTTAAGTTTGCCGCTGGCGATAGGTATGAGTGTATGACGTTCGAAATTTTTTATTTAATTGTAACAATAAAAATTGTGTACGTTAGATATTTGGGTAAAACTATGACACATTATAAGTTTTGTTGTCACGTGGGGGAGGGTACGCGCATTCCACAGACCGGCAAACTTAGAGCGAACGCGTTGTACAAGTATAAAATTGTTGAGACCAAACTTATGAGATATTGTACCAGCTAATGTAACACAAGCTTATACAAATACAAATAAATAAATAAATAACATTCATAGCGTTTTGTCTCCGCGCGGCCGCGGAGTCCGCACAGCCGCGGAGCGACCAGAGAGAGGTGTTTTGATTTTTTTATTTCTAAATTCTTGCGGAACCCCGACAGAGGTATCACGGAACCCTAGGGTTCCGCGGAACACACTTAGAGTATAGCTGACGTAGGCAACCGCTAAGAAAGGATTTTGATCAATTCTAACCCCAAGGGGATAAAATAGGGAAAGAAAGTTTGTAAGAAACTTTGTCAATTTTAAACCGATCGGGCTGAGACTTTGCATGCAGGTATAAGAAGAATCACAGATGAATGTCATTGTGTATAATACAAGCCTGAGAACAAAAACTGTAGTCTACACTTCAGCTCTACACCGAAGCGAAGCGAGGGCGGGCCGCTAGTTTAACATGTTTAAAATTGGTGCTCGCGCATTCACAAGTCAGACTTATTTACAGAATCGCCCTTCTGATAATAATACAATCACTTGATAGGGCGTTTGACAAGTTTGACAAAACGACTTACGTTATTTAATTATGTTTATGAAGCCCATAAAAAGTAGATATTAAAAAAAAACTAAATTAAAAGTTCTATTTTCAAGTTGCCGCAAAAACTGTGGGATGTGACGTTACACGACGGCATAAAAACGTCAAACGAAGCAATGTAATGCCACTTCGACCGGAAGTTTACTAGCGTGTGACGTAATTTTAGCCTTCGTCAATGCCAAGCGTTTTCGGTCACGTGACCATAGAACAAAAAAACAATGCAATTAAATGTTTGTTTTTAGAAAATTTAGTAGGTAATTGTTTGTTCAGGCCTATGTCCAACAGTGGACGTCTTTCGGCTGAAATGATGATGTTTGTTCACTCAAAATATTAAAATCGCTGTTGATATTCATATTAAATAGACATTTGTCAACAATTGATACTTTTTTTTACACTGTCAAATAGCCTTGTTGTACAAGCCATTTTAATTATTTATTAAGTTTGCATTCCGAGTCGAAGAACTCTAAACTGCTGACACAGTTGACCCACTAATTATTTTAAGAGCAATATTTTACATTATATGACAGTGCAATAAAGGCATTCACATCATATTACGTACTAGCGGCCTGCCCTCGCTTCGCTTCGGTGTAGAGCTGAAGTGTAGACTACAGTTTTTGTTCTCAGGCTTGTATTATACACAATGACATTCATCTATGATTCTTCTTATACCTGCATGCAAAGTCTCAGCCGGATTGGTTTAAAATTGACAAAGTTTCATACAAAATTTCATTCCCTATTTTATCCCTTTGGGGGTAGAATTGATCAAAAGCCTTTCTTAGCGGATGCCTACGTCATAACATCTACCTGCATGCCAGATTTCAGCCCGATCCGTCCAGTGGTTTGGGCTGTGCGTTGATAGATCACTATGTCAGTCAGTCACCTTTGAGATAGGACATATATAGATAGGGCTTTTAAATAATAAAATTGCAATTTAATAATTACTCCCGACGATCGTCCCGTGACTAATTGACATATTGACAGTCGTTAGGGTCCTAGTAACGGCCCCTACACTATTGTTATCGGAAATTTGTTGCTTATTTTTTTAACTACGTATTACTTGGAATCTTTCTTAACGCGCCAACATTTTTTCCCACAAACAGGCAGTACTCCAGTACGACGTCAATATTCCTACCCGCGAGTACTGGCAGCCACGTCTCCGCACGAGCGAATCCTAGCGCGATACCGCCAGCAACGAGTCAATCCTCTCCAGGTCAGTACATATTGACCTCAAGCGTCAATACTCCTACCCTCTAGTACTGGCAGCCACGTCTCCGCACGAGCCAATCCTCTCCAGGTCAGTAGATATTGACCTCAAGCGTCAGTACTCCTACCCTCTAATACTAGAGGGAAGAGCGAATCAGCAATCAAGGCAATGCCATCTCTTCGCATTGTAGGAAACCTACAATGTCAAATGAATACCTTTACAAGTATTAAATATTTGTAAGAAGAAATAACAATTATAGTTATATTGTGTTTAGCAGTTAAAAGCTTAAAAAATGAAATAAAATAATCTTGTCAGAATTAGGTATTATTGTTTGGTTTCTTCTGGTTATTCAAATTCTGGTAGATATCTATATCCCCTGATTTTCCCCTAGGACGTGGTAGTGATAGAGTCAGACGGCGAGCTAGCGGCGGGCAGTGAATCCGAGACTTCGAGCGAAGAGATATTCGCTGAACCATCGCCCCTCGTGACCATACCTACGTCTACGCCGGCCATATGCAAATCTACTTCGGAGACTGATATATATGTGAGGAGGGTGAGTGTTTGCAACTTACATTTAATTCATCATCATCAACTTGTCAATGTCCCCACTGCTGGGGCACAGACTTTAGGGAGTGGCCGTGACCCACCACGTGGGCCGAGTGCGGATTAGTGGGTGCTTAAATGCAGCCGGGACCAAGGGCTTGACGTGCCTTCTGAAGCACAGAGGAGGGAGAGATAACTGAGTTTTTGGTCACCCATCCAATGACCGACCATAACGAAAGTTACTTAATTTCAACGATCGCAGCCGAACGCGCTATCCACTAGGGCTATCGAGCTCCTCCAGTGTTTGTTAATAAATTTAATGAATTATTTATTCAAATTTAACATGCAGGCTTACAGAATAATCCAAAACGCCGGCAAGTCATACATTAAATTCAATAAAATTAAGAAAAAGGGGTAATCAAATAATAATATTAACAATAACAACAACAATAAACAGTAATGCCAAATAAATAGGTAATGTCAAATAGTACATAATAGAAAAAGTCAAATCGCCCATTGTAAAAGTATTATTAATTAATGTTATAACAAAATAGATAATTATGTCAAATCCATAAAACAATTAATAATTATGATTTTATTTATTTTTTAAGCATTTAACTGCTAGATGTTAAATCTAAAGAAAAGTTTACTAGAAAAAAATCCACGCGGACCAGGCAGCGGACGGGACTCGAACCCGCATCCTTCGCTATCCGGGCGAATGCACTGACCATTATGCTACCACGGCCCTATTAGCCGCGTCGAAATTTTCCTAGCCTTAAGCTGCAAGGCAGCGCCATCTCTTCGCATAGTAGGTAACTAACGGGATTTTTTTCTAGTAAACTTTTCTTTAGATTTAACAATTAATAATGTCATATCTAATGTCAACTAAGAACAAATTATGTTAAATATTATTGAATCAAGTTATGTTTACAAATGTCTTAAATATAATCAAAGTAACGGATGCCCGCGTCCTCATCTGCGTGCTTAGATTAAAACAAAAAGGGAATATACACGATACGCTCATACTAGCATGAATTAAAATATGATCCGACTCAACTACATACGCAACTCACATACACGCATACTTCTGTAAAAAAATATTCAATAGGGTATTTGACAAGTTTTAGGAAACGATCTCACATTATTGACTAATGTTTATGGAGTCCGTAAAAAGATATTCAGCATTCTGTTGTGTATTTCAGTAAAAATAACCAAATCAAAAACTCAATTTCAAGTTGCCGCGAAAACGTTTTTCTGGACAATATGGCGTCCTACTAGTGTGTGACGTCACACGACTGTTATTAAACGTCAAACGATACAATGTAATGTCACTTTAACCGGAAGTTTACTTGCGTGTGACGTCATTTTAGGCTCCGCCAATCCCAAGCGTTTTGCGTCACGTGACAATAGATATGAAAACTATTATCTTTTTCCTGGGTTTTTAGTAAAATTATGATTTTTTTTTTGTTGAAATAGTAAAAACCCCTGCCAATATTCATTGTAAACACAGATGCTAACAATTGGCACTTTATTTTTAATACTGTCAAATAACCTATTGAGCGAGCGAGACAGAATTGTACACTTCAACGCAGCGCGAGCGAAACGACGAATCCGCGTCGCTTGGCAACCGACTGCGTTTTATTTACTCTCTCTACAAAAGGCTGAGCTGTATCGTTGTCCTTTTCTTGGTAACAAATGGCGAATGAGTAAATAACTTTAATGACAAACCGTGAGTTTCGAGAAAAAAATGTTTTTATATCTAAAGAAAAGTTTACTAGAAAAAAAATCTACGCGGACCAGGCAGCGGACGGGACTCTAGTAAACTTTTCTTTAGATTTAAACATCTAGCAGTTAAATGCTTAAAAATAAATAAAAACATAACTATAATTGCTACTTCTTCTTTCAAACGTTTAATACTTGAAAAAGTATTCATTTGACATTGTGGGTTACCTACAATGCGAAGAGATGGCGCTGCCTTGCAGCTTAAGGCTAGGAAAATTTTGATGCCGTGGTAGCATAATGGTCAGTGCATTCGCTCGGATTGCGAAGGGTGCGGGTTCGAGTCCCGTCCGCTGCCTGGTCCGCGTAGATTTTTTTTCTAGTAAACTATTCTTTAGATTTAAACATCTAGCAGTTAAATGCTTAAAAATAAATAAAAACAATGTTTTTATAGTTTTACTCGGTGCTCGGGCTGCGATCGGTGAAGTTAAGCAACTTTCGCAGCGGTCGGTCATTGGATAGATGAGCAAAAATCTTCTATCTTGTGTTAGTGTTAGACACGTTAAGCCGTTGGCCCCGGTTGCATCTGCAGTGGTTAGCACCCGCCAATCCGCACTGGACCCGAGTGGTGGGTCATGGCCCAATCTCCCTATTCCTTCCTTAGGGAATGCCTGTGCCCCAGCAGTGGGGACATTAACAGGCTGATGATGATGATACTACTGTCAAGTTTACAGATAGCAAAAACTAATAGACCTATGCATTTACACACATACTTATTTCGTATTACTCATCTAATATATAAAATTCTCGTGTCACGGTGTTTGTGGTTAAACTCCCCCGAAACGGCTTTCCCGATTCTCATGAAATTTTGTGTGCATATTGGGTAGGTCTGAGAATCGGACAACATCTATTTTTCATCCCCCTAAATGTCAAGGGTAATCCTACCCATTTTTTTTTTTATTTTTTTTATGATACAGCATTAGTAAATACATATAACCCTGAATTTTCAACCCTTTACAGTCAACCCCTATTTTTTAATGGAGGTACGAAGTTCGCTAGGTCAGCTAGTAGTCATATAATAGTATTATATTTATCTCATACAACAGAAACAGCAAGATAAAGAGCAAGCGGGCAAAGAAAACCCAGACCGGTCAATGCATTACCGCAAACCTTCGAAGCTGCCCGCGCCTTCCTCCATCAAGAAACCACTCATAGAACGCAACGGCACTATCAACTGACATCAACACACGATAATGTGCCGATAAACCTCCCACCAGGTAGGCAATGAACGTACTACCTTTGAAAATGAGCCAATGCTCGTGTAAACATGAAATACTATCATATTTGGGACTCGAAAAGGGGTATTTGATCTGAAAAATGACAAGAATGTGTATTTATAACCTCCTTATCATCACATATCAACTTAACTATACTCGACATATTGCGACTCGTATACTCATTGCAATAAGAGAATTTAGTGAAAATAATGTCACAGTATAAAAAAATACAGTAAGTAGATATTAAAATGCTACCTTAGAAAATGAGCCCAATGCTTATGTGAACATGAAATACATATTTGGAACTCGAAAAGGGGTATTTGAGTTGAAAAATGACAAGAATGTGTTATTTATATCCGCCCTATCATCACACATCAACTTAACTATACTCGACATATTGCGAGTCGTATATTCATTGCAATAAGAGAATTAAAAAAAAGTATGTCACAGTATAAAAAATGTCAGTAAGTAGATATTAAAAATCACAAAGTAATAACATTTCGAGTCTCAGATATGGCAAATTAATAAAATCGAATTATATCAAATATTACGATAATTCTAGAATTAGATGGTAATTATAATTAGAATGTTTGTTTTACTATAATATAGTAATTGAAATATATCGCGTAAGAGTTTTAATTTTGGTTATTATGATTGTAAAAGAGATATTCGTTTACATGTTGAGGCATGCGAATTACTGAAATTTAAATTATTTTAAAGATATTATTTCTCTTTAGATCTTCGAAGACTTTGAAACTGGACATGTATGTAAAAGAATATAATCCTTTATTTTTGTCTGCAATAACTGCTTTATCTTGCAAATATTACTGTTTAAAATTATTTTAAATAAGCTTACAAAAGTAGACAGATTACGAATTTAAGTAACTGCATATCAACGAAACTTAATTAAATGCATATCAACAAAACTGTGCAGTTTCGAATAGTAATGGGTTAGGGAAAGGTCAGAAGTGCAAAATATAAATAAAAAAAGACCAAAGTAAACAATTCAAACTCTTATTTCCAAATAATCTTTCTCTTCCCCTCATTTTGATATGAATAATAAGCTCCCTCGTGAAATGTAAGACCCTTTTCACTTTACTTCCAATCGTTATAATACTTAAATTATGTTTAATTTTTTTTAATAAGTATTGCATAGAACAGGGTAGGCGAACCTTTATGAATCAACGTGCCATTTTTTCTAAAAAATCTTTAATTGGGTCATTGGCATGCCATCAAATAATTTTGACTTTATGATTATTTAGAAGATAATAATATAAATACTATCAGAAATCTTTATGAAACATAGTAAACCAAAGAGACACATTCTGGAATGTTTTTATTACACGCATAAATTAGATTACTGTAAAATTAGTGTGACTTCTGTTGCTGCCGGTTTGATAACAAATAATTTATGTTAGGGTTGTAAGATGCTACTTTTAGCAAAATGCATGCTGAACTGGATTCATCTGTCAAACGGTTTCTAAACGAGTTTTTAATGTTATTCATCTCTGAAAACAATGACTCGCAGGCATAGGTATATGAAAACATTGTTAAAATAGCATGTGCTAACTTATTCAAACAGTTACTTCGTAGCGTAGGATCACTCGCGTTCGATCGTCATAAAATACCTACTTCAATCATTTTTTACACATGTTTTATGATTGGCGACGTGCCCAAAATATTGTGTCGCGTGCCATCAGTGGCACGCGTGCCATTGGTTCGCCTACCCTGGCATAGAACTTACTGATTTTTTTACAATCGTTGAGAACTGCCCTTTTCCTAGGCTGTGCCAAATCACTTTCATAGTATTATTATAATCGTATAAAAGTGTTTTAATCTTGATTATGTTCACAAATGAATGGTCATCTTCTAGTAATTTCGATTGCAATTGCGTGATTTAAAGACAATTTCAATTAAAAAATAGTATTGATTGAAGAAAATATGTCACATTTTTGTAAATGTACTTTCCTCAAGTGTTGACTTATAACATTGTTAAGTGACGTGCTTGTAAAAGTGTTTCTTTTTATCAGTTTTCTTGTATATTTTAATGGAATCTAACTTTGATTTATATTATGTATTCGATGTACGTTACTGAATATAAATATTATTTCTTCCCAAGTGCTTGCTTTTTCATTTTAAATGTAATTATGTTTTAAATCTAAAGAAAATATAACTAGAAAAAATTCCACGCGGACCAGGCAGCAGACGGGACTCGAACCCGCACCCTTCGCTATCCGGGCGAATGCACTGACCAATTATGCTACCTTATTATTATCTTTTTCAAATACATAACTTATTGCATTGAACATAATAAAATGTCGACCTACGTGGCTGAGTGATCTATACGCCGGGTTTCAAGACCTATTTGAGAGGTTCGAATCCCCGTTGGGCCAGGTGTGATGAATACAAGCATTTGTACTCCAGACATGGACGTTTTACATGTATTTCTATATAAATATACATCAATATCTATTAGTATACCTATGTATTCCATCCGCTACCCTAGTATCCCATAACACAAGCTTACACTGCTTACTTTCGAGGCTAGGCTAATTAGTGAAGTTTATTTATTCTTATAAACGATAATTTAGTATTACGCATAAACAAATGACACAGTATATGACAACGTAGGGAAGCCTACATCACGTAAGTGAAATTCGGAAGTTAACACTATATGCATTGCCCGAGCAACATCAGTTGGGCCGCGGCCCCCGAGGTACCATCACCCAACTCGGAAGAAGATCTTCGTCCTTCCTTTGTTGCCGTTGTGTACCTCTGGAAAGGGTCGTCTCTACTAAATACTTGTGATTAATACTGGACCAACATCTGTCATGGCACAGCCAGATCGAGTTTGTGACTCAGAGACTTAGAAAATTAACATGGGTATTCAAAACTCTACGTCATATTGCAACACGTCATCTTCTTAATAGAATATATGTCTCACTAGCTCAATCTGTTTTGACATACTGCATCTCGATATGGGGAGGAGGTGCAAAGACTAAGTTTCTAGAAGTAGAAAGAGGTCAACGGTGTTTACTAAAAGTAATGTATTTTAAGCCTTATAGATTTTCGACAAAGGAACTTTATGAAATAGCCAATTTACCGACTGTACGTCAACTTTACATACTGATTGCAATTTTAAAACGTCATAAATACTTACCATATGAACCTAAGCTAACTCAAAAAGAAAAAATGCATCTAAATCTCACAGCATAACACAGTCTTTGCTGGGCGGCAATTCGATATACAGAGTTGTTAAATCTACAACGAAGTATATAAAAAGCTAGGTATATCTAATCTTAATATGTATGATTGTAAAAAAAATGTACTTACTTGGTTAAAAACTAAGAACTATAATGATACTGAAAACTTGCTTCAAAATTTATAATAATCGATCACACACACACAAACACATACACACTCACACACACTCACACCCACACACACTCACACCCACACACAAACGCAGACTATTGAATACATTAGACTAAACAAATAACGTGTCGTTATATATATGTAACCAATATGGTATTAAGTATGGAAGAGTTATGGAAGAGCGAGAGTCCTGACACAGGCAAATAAATTGTCTACTAGGGGCTCTCAAATATTGTATCACTAGCATAATATTGGTTGTAGAAATAAAGTATTTTTGATTTTTTTTGATTTGATTTCCTGCACCATTGCTCGATTCCCGGATAATTCCACTTTCACAGTATAAAGGATGTTCAGGTTTAAACTTTCGTGGTCACTAACATTTAGTAATTTATGTTATTTCCGGGATTGTCACCATATACCTTGTTTTAGCGAGTTATGGAGGGTAGACCGATATTTGTGTCCATAACAGCCTACCCGCAGTTACTTCAGTTACTCCGTGATCATGGCGCTTGCAACAGTGCCGAAATATCGGAACCTCGCTAAAAACAAGGTACATGGCAACAATCCCGGAAATAACATACATTACTATAAGGGTGTTCATGTTTAAAAAGAAACTTTTATATATTGTATTTTATTTATTAGCAGAGAAGATTACATCACGCTGTATTGCTAGTTAACACATTAGTTACCTGGTGGCCATTTTCTCCAACATCTATTGACAAACAGAATTAGTACTTCGTTTTTCATTGGTTAACCAACTACAAAAATGAAGGCTATTGGTGCCAAATCTGGCGTGATTCTCTAAACTTAAAACTAAATTTAACATCAGTCTTTTCTTTTCATTCTATATAGAGACTGACAAGGATGCACTGTTGTCAAATCTAAGTTAAGGTTTAGAGAATCATGTCAGAATCGATACCATTGTCATACAATATGTGTCAAACTAATCGTATAATAATATGATACACTTAGCCTATCCGTTTTCTATTTATCCCAAATAACAATGATTCAATAAAAAATACTAGAAATAGTCAAAAGTCGACATTAACATTATTAGAACAATTCGAATTATGCCCTGGTTTTTATTAGAGTAAAACACTTGTATTATATTATTATCTTAGAAATATAAAGATTGCCTTTTACAAGTTTAATTTTTTAATTGTAATTTTACCCTAAGAAAAAATAAACTACTAGCGTAAAGTCCTTAAAGTTAAGCTAAATGATATCCAGATTGCTGAGTGTATCAGTATTTTAATTCTTTGAATGTTCATTTTGACGTGACAACGTCTTATAATTGGATGGAGCCGGCTGCACGCACGAAAAAACATGACTGATGCGGCGTAACCTCGCTCTGAGACGTTCCATTTAAGGCTTGAAGTTCAAGCGAGCAACGAGCGACAAAGAGGCACAATCGGCCTCCGCGTTTGGCAGCGTTCGACATCTGTCTCTCTCCTACTTGATTGAGCGATGCGTCCGCGTGGACAGCTGCTATACAATAATACAATTACATGTTTTCGTCAAGTATGAAGTGCAGTGAAAAGTGAATGTGGTGTCAATTATTTATAACAACGATAATTGTGGCGATAAAGGTAATGATATATACACATGATTAAAAGTTGTAAAACAATTGCTCAAAGCACATTCATACTTGTAAAAACTATGTACATTGTAAAAAAACGTTGTCACGTTCAACTATCGTAATTTTTATGTAATAGATGTGCAATGTTTGCAGTAAAAATTAATATATCCTGATCTATGACTCCAAGTTTATAGTGAAATACATAGCAAGACAACAACATAGCCTTTCAATTAATCTTAAATTAATGATTATAACTAATGCTGACATTTATAATTAAATATATATAAAAAATATTGTTTGGTTTTTCGTTCTAAAACTATCAACTGTTCTACTAACATCTATTTAATAAATGCAAATATATTTATTTATATTAATGAAATTTAATTCATAATTATAGTGCAAGGAAAAAAGTGGTGTTCTCAGTAAATGAAACATTACGTACGCTCTCTCTGTACAATATATAAATTCTATTTAAAAACTACAATTTAAAGTAGAAAAAATATCAATATTGACTTCATTAAATAAGCCTAAAGTCTTTTCAGAGACTCAAAATAAAATAAAAAGTTTGTTTTTAAAAAGTAGTTTACACAGTGCCACTCTTTTGGTAAGAAATGTACAGATTTTGGTCGCCGCAAACTTCTTAGGCACTTTGCAGACGACGGGGCGGGGCGGGCCGGTCAATTTCGCCGCGAGTAATAGCACAAAGTGAATCCTATATTTCAAACGCACACAGAGGGCAAAAAGACCGCGCCTTTCGTGCCCGGCGGGCAGTGGCGGCGCGGCATGTCCGCGGCTGCCAGCCGTGGATCATACAAACCAGTTTATATGCAGTAACGCAGACGGCGGCGCGGGGCGGTCAGCTCAGTCCGCGCCACGCGCTTATTAGTGATGGACTATTCACTAGAACGAACGTCCTGAACTGACCGCCTCTGCCCGTCGTGTGCTTTGTGTACGCGGCGCGGGCAGCCGCAGACATCGACGTGCAGACGCGGTTTTTATTGCTTCGCGGACAAAATGCCCGCCCCGCCCCGTCGTCTGCTCAACGCCTTAAGGAAAACCACAGACAAATAAACATGCGCAGTAGATGTTTTTGTATGTAAAATTGCTACTGCGTTGCTCAAAAAGTTTGCCGGGGTGTATACCTACCTACTTTCTGCATATACAAAAAGCATTTTTATCTAACACATACTCCGCTCTATTATTTTTTTCAGTAACGTTAGCTGCACCTTATCAGAAAAAGAATATAAAAGAGAGTTTTTGGCGCGATTTCATCGAGTGCGGCTGGCGTCTTATTTTAATTATTCTTAAATTCGTTCATAGTGGATATTATGAAATAAAATGGGTGTGATTTTGTGTTTCAACCGTCTGCGCAACTGAAAAATTAGTGGAATCTTTAAAATATACACACTATTGCGGTCAAGTGGAAGCGGGAATTTTAATGTAGTGTCCAGTACCTCTCAGAAGCTTATCAAAAAAGCTGACTCGATAAATTTCGTGCAAAATACTCCAAGAAACATGAGAATGTCGTGACTCATTCTAATGTTTAAAATGTAAAAAAAGAAGATTAATACAACTTAAGACTAGGCTGTGTGGGCATTGTTCCCTTTGCCTTCCCCTAAAGAATGTTAAAGAAAGAATATAAAAAGTTCCGTATGGTTATAGTAGAACTATACGGAATGTATTTCTCCATTAGTTGAAGTAAGTATGTATTACACAATTTTCTTATAAAGTGTTATCCAACTAAGTGAGAAATGTGCGTAAGATTTTCACAGATTAAAAAGTTAAAACATTGGAGACACTGGTGCTAATAAATAAAAAAAACACATATAAATTGCAGGAGCTTTAACAAAAAACAAAATGGTGGGAAAGTACGTTTAAAATGCCTTCAAAATATAAATTACTTAAAACTAATAAAATAAATTACCTTAAAAACTAAGGAAAGTGATTTTTCATTTATTTACATTTCCTAATATAATATAAACTTATCGACAAAAATAATAAATATAGTTAAAGAATACTGAGTATCAAAAACGATACAAATTAAACGGATATTTAAAATATTAATTCTTTTAGACACTTATTATTACTTAAGATAGGTAAGTATATATTAATATCGTTCAAATAGCACCTAAAAACACGATTTTTTCAAATAAATACCTATCTACATTTTTATTTATAAATTAATTTTAAATGAACAAGTTGAAACCGATTTTTTACGTGTACATTTTTTTTTTATCTTACAGTCTTCTTTTCATTTTAGCGAACACTGCATGTTTTTTTTTATTTTCAGCTAGAAATCGCGGTAATTTTAAACTAGCCAACCCAAAAACCAAAAATATATGGAATGCGCGTGTTCTTGCGAAATTCTTGCATTTTTGTTTCATTTTATGTATTAAAATAATCGTAAGCACAAAAAGTCAATTCATTAAAAAAAAATAAAAAGTGTTGGCGCTGATGTGACTCGTTCCCTTACAAGCATGTGCCAATTTGAGCTTTATTTGCTAGAGAATAGTATTTAAATTTCGGGTTTCTGTATATAATAATATGATGTATGACCCTAGGAACTATGGAAACGCCGAGGTTTTCGATATTAAATAATATCCTCCTTGAGACACCTAAAGGGCCAGCACTAATCTCTTTCCGTACTTACGCAGTATAAATTTAAAAAGTAGGGGAATCCCCGCATTATGCACCGTGGCATATTTCCACCGCTTTATTCCATTTTCACTTGAATATATTTTCAATTTTATATAACTAGACCAGTTCTCGTAGCACCACAATTTACATTATATCATGTTTATCGCGTCTAACTGTCAAACTCAATAATAATCTGACAATTGAGCGTGATAAAAACGCGATATATATCATATCGCGGTGCTCGTGCTAGGGGGGCAACTTGTGACTGTACCGGTGCAACTCTGATGGTGATTTAAAATAGACAACGATCAGCCATAGATTGTTGACGGATATGATCTGAGGCCCAAGCACGAATTTTGACAGTTCTGTAATCGTATCATATCGTCAAAGTTTCTATGAAAACTAAACAGCGTTCCTATCGGACTTTAGTACAAACTAGCTTTTATAAAACTATAATTTGACGATGACTAAACGATTATGGAACTGCCAAAAGTCATGGTTGATCCAACTTATGAATCACTGAGTCTCCATTCAGGATGTAGCCCAGTCGATCAGCTATAGATTATTGATAGATATGATCTTCTAGATCCGCCCGATGAAGCTCTAAGTCTCCATTCAGGATGTAGCCCAGTCAATCAGCTATAGGTTGTTGACGGATATGATCTGGTTGATCCAGCCTATGAAGGCGGACACCTTCACGTAGACGCCGGGCACGTCGCGCCGGCCGCAGCCGAAGCCCCACGACACCAGACCCACCAGCTCGTAGAAACCGTCGTCCTGGCACACGAGGGGGCCACCGCCGTCGCCCTGGTAAGAGGAATAAACGTGGTTAATAAAATAAATAAAATAATATATTGAGCTAAAATGAATAATGTTGATATTAATATATTTTTATTTGTTGGGTAAAAAAATATCGTAATTGGCTGATAAATTGTATACGTATTAACTAAATTACAATTAGTGAATGCGTCCTCTTCTCTGTTTGCTGTGCCCTGTTCAGGGTCTACAATGATCAAAGCAATGTACCTACTAAGATCTAAGAAAACATTGTAGAACGCAATAAAGTATTGATTGATTGATTGATTGAAACTTGTCGTTCTGAAATTTAGATTGTTGATTAATGTTGTAAACACTTTGTAATTTGATTGCTTAAAATGGGTACATTTTTAATTAACATGCAATTACATAAAAGGAATCACAAGACAATAGAAAAGAAAAATGTGTTAAGAAAAACAAAAACAAAAAAAAAAGGTAAATAATACTTGATAGAAAGTGCCTGCCTGCGCCAAATAGGATAATTGAGCTGACACAATGTTGCTAAGTTCAACATTGTGTCTTTTCAATAAATTACCACAAACTATTGTAGAACTGCCCATTGATAAATTTAAAGTTAAATAAATAAATATTTCCAACACTCACACCAATTAGCCTAGCCTCAAAGTAAGCACTATAGGCTTGTGTTATGGGATACTAAGGTAACGGATAGAATACTTAGACTAATACAAACATAACTGTAGTTATAGAGAAATACCATATTAAACATCCATGACTGGAGTACAATTGCTCGTATTCATCACAGAAACATTGCCCCCACCGGGATTCGAACCCTCTTGAGTAGGCGACACCTTTAAATCCGGCGTACAAACCACTCGGCCACGGATGTCGTCCAAAGTTGAAGATAAACTGTCTAGCTCGCATCAATATTTATGATAGGATGCACCGCCGAGCGCGGGACGTAAACAAAGTGTCTTCATATTTCTACACTTTAAATATAATTACAAAGCAAATCAACAATCCGAAGTTTTCTTAAATTGAGAACGAGTACTTAACAAGTTAGTGAGATCGTTATCCAGGGTCTACTTTGTGTTATCTATATACCTACTTATAATAAATCTGTAGAGATGTCAATTCTGTACATGAAATATATTTTAAAAATAACTATCAGGGGGTGATTAGTGATCGATACTGATGCCAAAAATGCAATCAGTAAAATTTTTGTCTGTCTGTCTGTCTGTCTGTGTGTTTGTTCCTTATAGAAACAAAATTTACTCGACGGATTTTAACGAAACTTAGTACAATTATTCTTCATACTCCTGGGCAGGTTATAGTATACTTTTCATCACGCTACAATCAATAGGAGCAGAGTAGTGAAGGGAAATGTTGGGAAAACGGGAGAAGTTACTCCATTTTTTAAGCTTCCGTCGCGTGTGCACCCTTAATGGTTAAAGTTACATTGAAATCATGTATGACGGAAATATTCTACATAAAATTGTCTAAAAAATATCCCGCAACAGCATATGTCTATCTTTTATGGTTGACTCACAAAAACACGTGTAACTCCCGATAGCTTAGCAGTTCGGAGCATTCTGATCATATTTGTTTACTCTTACGTTTATAATACTCTGACTCACCCCTTATTTAAAAAAGTTAACATTATTACCAATTCAATAAAAAAAAACATAGAAATCGGTATTGAAACACAACATTATTTTTGTGTAACGGTTGCCGCGCTCGACACGGGTCGCGGCGGCGGTAGGGTATCAAAAGGCGGGAGGTCCGAGATCGAGCTGTCTAAATCTGTTTTCTGCGTCGCTCCCCCCCTGGAGGACGATCGCTTCCGATGAAGCCTTAGAGGCCTTCCCGGCCAGAGGCAGCCCCAACGGGTGTTTTTTAGTCAGTACGAGTCTGACATAACCTTGCAGCCGGCTGTAGGGTATCCATGAGGATTTCTCACCTGCTCCCCCGCCTGGGAGAAAACAAAAAAAAATAAAAAAAGAGAGCGAGCGAGCTTCAATATTGATGCATTCAGAGCGTTCGACCTTATTGACAGACAATAATTGATATTGAGAAACCGTGCTTATCAGCGCCTCGATCGACTTTTAGTCTTTAAATAGTTTATTTGAATTTCTTTTGTTGTTATTTTGTAAAATAGGTATTAGTGGTTTTGGTAGTGTTTAAATATTCGTTCAAATAAAAATTATTGAGCGTAGGTACTTTTATTAATTAAAGTAGTTATAAGTATTTATTTTTAAGTGAAGTAGGTATAGGCAGATAGTATTGTACAGGCGTTTCAGCTTTATTATCATTTATTTTTTGTTGTGAGTTGTATTTGGTTATAATTCTATAAGAATATTTTAGTTTAAATAGTCACTTAGATTTTAAGTGTAAGGTAGCATAAGTTAGGACCACGTATTAGTTGTTTTGGTAGTGTTTAAATATTCGTTCAAAGTGTAATTTAATCATATGGGATGAATGTACGATGGCCCATCGAAAAGGAGTAGAAGCGGTAGACAGAACTTTAAGGGATATAAGGCAAAATGATCGACCAATGGGGGGTATCACAGTTTTATTTTGTGGTGATTTCCGACAAACCTTACCGGTAATACCACGGGGAACCCGAGCTGATGAGGTTAGGGCTTGCCTGAAAAGCTCTTATTTGTAGCGTGATATACAATCGGTGCATTTGACTATAAACATGCGAGTGAGAACTGTAGATAACCCGGATGATCGTGAATTTTCTGATATATTATTTAAGAAAATACCTCCACCAAAGATACCTATCCACTGCTACACCAAGGAAAACTTATTCTGACGCCTGAGTTATGTTGTATAGTGCAATCCCAACAACATCTTATATCGTCAGTTTACGGTGACGTAACAAATATATTAAATAAGGACAATTCTTGGCTATGCGAAAGGTCCATTTTAACTCCTCGCAATGACCAGGCATCTGAGATTAATAATAAAATACTGTCGAATATCCAGGGGGAAAGCAAAGTTTATAGTTCAATAAATAGAATGGCCGATGAACAAGAAGCCACTAATTACCCGATAGAATTTTTAAATTCTTTAAATATGCCCGGATTTCCTTCTCATGATATTTGTTTAAAAATTGGCATTCCGATTATTCTGCTCCGAAATTTAACACCACCACAACTTTGCAATGGAACTCGGCTTAAAGTAACCCAGTTGCAACAAAATGTAATCGAGGCTCAAATTTTAACAGGTTGCGGTGCAGGAGAAACCATCTTTATTCCCAGAATTCCCATAATACCAAATAATTTTTCATTCCAATTTAAAGGAACGCAATTCCCAGTATCGGTGTGCTATGCAATGACAATAAATAAGGCTCAAGGGCAGACTTTTCGTGTTGCTGGAGTAGATCTCGGTGTCAGTTGTTTTTCACATGGTCAGTTATATGTCGCTCTTTCCCGGGTTAGCAGTTCTAGAAATCTTTATGTTCACGTGCCGGACGGGTCAACTTTCAACGTAGCTTACCCGGAAGCTTTGCGCTGAAGTATTTTCATTCTATATGTACTTAAGCCTCATGTGAAAGTGATCTAAACAATATTACCAATACATTAACATAATTACATACAAGGAGTTACACGCTGATGGTCTCGGGGCACAGTGATAATAATAATATTCTGCGGTTCCTTATTGCAATATTTTTAACACACACACAATACTGTGGATTGACATATTATATTTCCCTACTAAAATACGAAAGTTAATCTGTCTGTCACATCAAAACCACGGAACCCTGAGGAAGGACATATGCTACTTTTTTACGAAAAACGACTAAACGCGGACGAAGTCGCGGGCAAAAGCTAGTTAAAAATAAAAGTGAAGTGATAACAGTTGAAAAAAAACAGTGCATTAAAATAGTCAATAGTACGTTCTTAGTTAATTATCGGTTACAAATCGCCGAAAAAGGTTTATTACTACCAATTTAAAGGTATACTTCTATAAATAGCTGAATTTACCAAAAAAAAAGTGAAATAGTAATGGACCGGGTATATTAAAAATAAAGAAAACAGGTAGTCAAACCTAGACACTGTTGTTCCAATCTTCCGTAAATGACAAAATACACTACAAAAAATTGGCTATGATATCGAAGCTTCTCGTGGCGCAACGGATAGACTATCAGGTTGAGTGCGTCGAATGAGTCTCGAGTTCGAATTCTGATCGAGTAAAGAATAACATACTTACATTTTTTTTCTTCTCTTTTCATTTTTATTAATTTTAATGATATTATTTTATATTCAATTTAATTTAAATTAAATAATAGTACTTATACAAAATGGAAGCACAAGCAAAGACCGTCGGGCATACAAAACGAATTCGTAAATTGACTATATGCACAAAATGCAAATTAACTAGAGAGGAGAATGAGACAATTTTGTGTACATTATGCAATGAGCGCTATGACTTTGACTGTATTGGAATGTCAGAAAAACTTTACAATTTGATGCTTCCCGATAAGAAAAAAAATTGGAAGTGTGAAACCTGCACAGTTCAACAAAAGGAAATTCAGACAACAAAATCAACAAGCGATTACATGAATGTTACAGTAAGAAAAAAGCTTCCTACTATAGAACAGCAAACATGCACACCGAAGGCTATGGATACTTTCGAAGACTGTCATTCAATTAATTCGTTTGTTTACGATACCTTGTCTACAGACTTATCTACAGAACTATCGAAAAGCGTAGTCTACACATTGGATGATGTTATACTAATGGAGGATCATAAAAAACAAATCAGTGATCTTACTTCTACTTTAACCAGTACTCAAACTGAGCTGAAGAACACAATTTTGGAGAATAATGACTTAAAGGTACAACTCCAAACGCTGAACAAAGAAATGCGGTCTCATAAGCATCTTGACTTTGTTTTTCCTACCTACAGGGCAAATAAAAAAATAGAGGGTTTTAAAAATTACAATGGGAATTTTGATCTTTGCGCGATCATTACCCCTCCTAGAGCTCGCAAAACTCCATGCCAGAATTATAGTGCTGAAATTG